GGCAAAAAGCTTAAAATACTTACCATTATGAGAAAGCCAATATGAAAAGGCTACATACTGCATGATTCCAAGGATATGACATTAGTGAAAAGGGGAAACTAATGAGACAGTAAAATAACAATCAGGGGATACCAAGGAGTAAGGGGGAAGAAGGAATGGACAGGTGGAGGCCAGAGAATTTTCAGTTGAAAATTGAAAACATTCTGTATGATACTATAATGGTAAATACCTATCATTAAGCATTTATCAAAACCCATAGGATGGAAAATATCAAGAGTGGACCCTAACACAAACTCAGATTTTGAGTGATAACGATGTGTTCATGTAGGTTCATCAATTTTAACACTCAGATGGGGACTTCCTTAGTGGTACAGTACTAAGATTTCACACGCCCTGGAACAACTAAGCCCAAAAGCCACAACTACTGAATCTGTGATCCACAAGTAAAGAGCCCATACGCTCCAACAAAAGATTCCACATGATGCAAAAATCCCACATGATACAACTAAGACCCAATGCAGCCGAAATAAATACACAGTTAAACAAATAAACATTTTATTTAAAAAGAACAAAGTTTAAGGACCCACAACACATGAATCTGAAATTCTTACAAAGCTAGAGAAAGCAAAACAGTGTGCTACTGACACAAAAACATATATATTCTAATGGAATAAAACAGAGACTAACGAATCTAAACATTAACCCTCAAATATGTAATCCAATACTTTCTAACAAGAGGACCATTACCATTCAATACAGTCTTCTCAACAAATGGTGCTAGGAAAACTGGATACCCACATGTACAACAATGAAAATAGAACCTTATCTAATACCATATACAAAAATTCACTCAAAGTATACCAAAGATCTAACCTTAAGAGATAAAATTACAAATTCGTAGGAAAAACATACAAGACAAACTGGGCCTCATAAAAAGGAACAATTTCGGTTGCATACCTTTAACTTATACAGTATCATGTGTCAATAATACCTCAAGAAAGCTGTGGGGAAAAGAGAAAAAAATGAAAAGTTTCGTACATCAAAGGACACTATAAACAGTAAAAAAAAGAAACCATAGGTTGGGAGAAAGCATTTCCAAAACACAAATACAAAAATGGATTAATATCAGACTTCTCTGATAGTAGAGTGGCTAAGAATCCACCTGCCAATGCAGGGGACACAGGTTCACTCCTTGGTCTGGGAAGATTGCACATGCAAGTAAATAAGCCTGTGCGCCACAACTACTGAAGCCCACACATCCAAAAGCCCCCACACGGCAACTCCTGCGCCCTGGTGCTGCAACTACTGAGAGAGCCTCTTTCACGTGGCAAAAGAGAAGCCACCCTAAAGAGAAGCCTGTGCACAGCAACAAAGACCCAGCGCAGCCAAATAAATAAATAAATTGTAAAGGACTGATATTCAGAATCTATGGATAAATTTGTAATTCAAAAACAACTCAAAAGCCAACCAGATTAATAAATTAAAAAAAGACTTGAGTAGATATTTTTTAAAGATATACAAATGACCAATAAGCACACCATGAGGGATGTAACCAAAATGGGAAAAGACACCACTTCACATCCATTAGGATGGCAATGATTAAAAGAAAAGAAAACAACAAGGACTTCCCTGGTGGTCCAGTTGCTGAAACTCCCGGCTCCCAAGGCAGGGGCCCCAGTTTCCATCCCAGGTCAGGGAACTAGATTTCACATGCCACAACTAAGAGTTCACAGGCTGTAATTAAAGATGGCACATGCTGCAACAAAGACTGCAGATCAACCATCTGAAGTGCCACAAGTAAGACCCAGGGCAGCCAAAAGAATAAATAAATACTATAAATAAAAAAACAAAACACAAAAAAGAAAAACCTTGCACTCATATCTTCAATTCCCTAATATTAAAAAAAAAAAAAAAAAGACTGCATACTGCCAATACAGGTGGCAGATATTCAATCCCTGGTCATCACTTGTCAGGGAAATAACATCCTGCATGCCCCTTGGGGAGACCAAAACAAAAAAACAGAAAAGAACAGATGTTGGCATGGGTACAAAGAAATTGGAACCTTGAAAAAGGATCTTGCAGAAGCAGTTGTAACCATGTCAGTGGCAACAATGCTGCAGAGTCAGGCACAAGAAGAATGTCAGGTGTGGGCGTGGAGTAAAACTCGGGTGCCATTCACTTGGAAGGCCACTTGGCCAGAAGGAGGGCAAACAAGGAGAAATAAATCAGGCTGATGGAAGACTACTGACCCTGACGGTTTCTCACGGCAAGAGAAGTTAAAGCAAAAACAAATACATGGGACCAATCAAACACAGTCATGTGCAGATGTTCCCACAGTCATGTACGGATGTGAGACTTGGACCATAAAGAAGGCTGAGAGCTTAAGAATTGATGCTTTCAAACTCTAGCACTGGAGAATACTCTTGAGAGTCCCTTAGACAGCAAAAAGATCAAACTAGTCAATCCTAAAAGGAATCAATCCTGAATATTCACTGGAAGGACTGATGCTGAAGCTGAAGCGCCAATGCTTTGGCCACCTGATGTGAAGAGCCAACTCAATGGAAAAGACCCTGATCCTGGGAAAGAATGAGGGCAGAAGGAGAAGAGGGCAACAGAGGATGAGATGGTTGGATGGTACCATTAAGTCACCGGACATAAGCCAACTCCAGGAGATGGTGAAGGACAGGGAAGCCTAGCATGCAGTTCATGTGGTCGCAAAGAATTGGACACGACTGACTGAGTGATCAACAACAAAATCAAACAAAAGCTTTTGCACAGCAAAGGAAACCATAAACAAAACAAAAAGACAAACTACTGCAAATAATGTAACTGACAAGGGCTTCATTTCCAAAATATATAGAGAGGAGTACAACTGATAACAAACAAACCCAACCCAGAAGAGCTAACTAGACATCTCTCCAAAGAAAAAATACAGATGGCCAACAGGCACATGAAAAGGTGCTCATCATCACTAATTATCAAAGAAATGCAAATCAAAACTATTATACAATGAGGTACCACGTCACACTGAACAGAATGGCCATCAGTAAAATGTCCACAAATATGGTCTTTCCTTATAGTCCAGTGGTTAAGAATCCACCTTGCAATGCAAGGGATACTGGTTCAATCCATGATCCGGGAAAATCCCATGTGCTGCGGAGCAACTAGGCCTGTGCACCACAACTCTAGAGCCCACAAGCCACAACTACTGAAGCCTGCGGGGCTACAGCCCATGCTCCGCAACAAGAGAAGACACTGCAAGAGAAGACACCTCAATTAGAGAGGAGACCCCTCTCTCCGCTGAGAAAAGACCCAGCAAGGCAACAAAGACCCAGTGCGGCCAAAATTAAAATAAGTAAATTAATTAATTTTTTTAAAGTCTACAAATAACAAATTTGGGAGAGGGTGTGGAGAAAAAGGAAACCTCTTACACTGCTGGTAAGAATGTAAATTGGTACAGTCACTATGGAAAACACTATGGAGGTTCCTTAAAACAAGAAAAATAAGAGTTACCTTAAGATCCACCAATCCCATTCCTGGGCTTGTATCCAGAGAAAAACATAGTTTGAAAGAATACATGCACCCCAATATTCCTTGCAGTAATGTTTACAATAGCCAAGAAATGAAAGCAACCTAAATGTCTGTCGACAGATGAATAGATGAAGAAGATGTGGTGCTTATATACCATGGAATAGTACTCAGCCACTAAAACAAATGAAATAATGCCATTTGCAACAACATGGATGGACCTAGAGATTGTCAATACTGAGAAAAGTTAAGTCAGAAAGAGAAGGAGAAATAGTTATGACATCCCTTATACGTAGAATCTAAAAAGAAACGATACAAATGAAGGTGCAAAACAGAAAGAGTCAGATTTAGAGAATGGCTGTGAGAAGGAAGGACTGCAGGAAGGGATAGTTCAGGAGTTTGGGGTGGACATGTGCACACTCCTGTATTTAAAATGAATAACCAACAAGAGCCTACTATGCAGCACAGGAAACTCTGCTCAGTGTCATGTGGCAGCCTGTATGGGAGGGGAGTTTGGGAGATAACAGATACCTGTACATGGATGGCCCAGTCCTTTCCCTGTTCACCTGAAACTATCACAACATTGTTAATCGGCTATAACCCGTTACAAAATAAAAACTTAGGAAAACTAGAATAGATTCAAACCAACCAAAACTGAAAGTATTCTGTGGGAAGAAACAACATATTTCTATCTGTTCACTGGAAAAGCGACTCAACCAGTTAATGTGCCAGATTACATTGAGCACCTACTGTACAGTAGGCACTCTTCCAGGCTGTGAACAAAGCTGTGAAGCAGGTATAAAAGCACTCTCGGATACTAGCACTCTAAGTGGGGAAGGCCGATCATAAACAAGTAAGCAAACAACCAGGACACCTCAAAGGTGCTTTTAGGAACAGGATAACGTCCCAGAGAGTGACTAATGTGTGTATGTGTTGGGGAAGGGCTTCTTTAAACCAGGTCATTGAGAAAGGACCTCAGGCAAGAAAGAAATATCATATAATATCGCTCAAATGAAATTTAAAAAAAAAAAAAAAAACTGATACATACAGACTTATTTACGAAACAGAACCAGACTCAAGGATTTAGACAATGAACTTGCTGTTGCCAGAGGGGAAAGGAGAAGGGCATGGATAGTCAGAGTTTGTGACTGACATGTACTGCTGTATTTAAAACGGATAACCAGCAGAACCTAATGTACAACAGGAATTAAAACAAAATTGTAAATCAACTATAATTCAATAAAATTAAATACAAAACAAAGACTGTTGACCCTGAATCCTCAGCTGCAATTTTGGGCTACAGGTGTTCAGGCACTAAGGAGTAGGGATGCACTCTCCACAGACATACTAACCACAGCACATAACTCAGCACTTTAAGAAAGCGGTGATGTGAGGAGTAAAGAGCTGTCCTTAGGGGAAAGGAGAAAGACAGAGCCTGGCTCAGAGGATAGAGGTGGGTGTGCAGGCCTTACCCAGCATGCATACAAGTGCAAAGTTCTCCAGCATGACATCGAGGTATAGCTGTATCTGAGCCTCATCAAGAAGACACCATTCCTCCCAGGAGAAGTACATGGCCACATCCTCAAAGGTCACACTGCCCTGGTATAACACGAACAAATAAAACCATCAACGGTCTCACTCCTGAAAAGCCACCATCTATTTTCCCATGTATCTCCCCACAGCCCAGTAGATGTAACCCCCTGGAAACCTCCTCTGATCTGAACCTTCCATTGCCTCCAGAATACACAGGCAGTCATTTGAAGCTGAAATCGTGCTCTTCCCTGCTGCTTATTCCCACCAGAAAAAAAAAGGAGACCTGCACTTACCTAAACCAGCTCAGCTTCACCTCAAAGCACCTCCATGGACTGACACGGGTTCCAGAGTAACGTTCCACACTTCCTCCACAGAGCAGGCCTGCACTCAATAACCCAAGCAAGGGGTTCCCAAGGCCACCAAACCAAAAAACTGGTAGGATGGCAGCTGAAGAGCCCCAAGACCTTACTCAAATACAGAGAATTTGCGCCCAGGGGTGATAACAAGTGAGGGACTGGAACAACTTCTACTTACTAAAAGTGCTTCTGCAGCCCTGGGAATCTGCGGGAACACGAAGGCCACGGAGGAGACTGACCAGGGCGGTGCTCCAAGGACTCAGGACATGCCAGGGCCGCTGCCTGGTACCAGGGCCAGGGCGCCTCAGCTGACTGGCTAACCTCTCCTCTGTGACTCCATCGTCAGTGCTGCCCTTTACCATATGCTACCGTGGAAAAGCCACAACTTCCCTCTGCTCAAAGTACTCATCACTCCCTACAGACTTTTCTTCCACTGAACAGTCTTTGGAGAACTTTAAAAAGCTCGACGAAATCGTGTCCTTCCTTTGTTCAAAACTCCACGGCTCCCAAGGCCCTAAAAAGAAAGGTACAATACAACCTCTCATCTAGTAATCGAGCTGCAGCCTGACCTCAAAACTTTGCTCCTCACCGAAACAGGATGGACTATAGATTCCCCAACGATCCTGCTTCAGCTGCATCCAAGCCTCACCCACACATTACACTTGTCTTCAGAAATAAGGACACCACCTCCGAAGGCCTCCATGTTCTGAACCAGGGGCCTAAGATAAAGCGACCTGAGCAGTCGCTTCTAACTCTGAGCATCAGTATTTCAGTGAGGAAATGGGCAGGGGAGAACCCGGAGCACGAAGCGTTTACCTGATGTAGAGCCGACAGCGCAGCCGCCGCCATAGTAGCCTGTGGGCGGAGCGACAACACTCGAACAACCGAGTCGGACTCGGCACGGTTATTCTCGGCCGACAGCGACGCCTGCAACCCTGCGCAGTAAGGCCAAAGCATCCAACTTCGCCTTAGCCCGTAACCTCCCTCTCCAACAACACACTCCGGAGTTTCTGACCAGCTCCAAAGTCCCAGCAGCGACCAAAATGTCAGCCACCGAAACACCGGAAGTCCCACTACCGGATGTTCCGCCTCTAGGAAATGCACCGGCTTTGGACTTTCATTGGCTGAAGGTGGCTTTAGCGCAAAATCTTCTGGATAATGTAGTGCCACAGCCTCGAGCAATTGCGCCCCACTCTGGAAGCCCCAAGAAAAAAAGCGCAGCGGCACCGCGAGGATCGCAGAGAAATCACCTGAGGTGGAGGAGGGTAGTTCCACAATTCTTAAAGAGGATGGGGGCCCCATGAGGGAACGAAAATAGGGTGCTACAGAGCAGCCTATCCTTTAATGCTTTACTTTTAATTATTTAATGCTACTGATCACTTAAGTGTTATAATCTCAGACTCCTTGAAACCAAACCTACTTGGCATCCGTTGGTAACTGGAAGTAAACATACATTATCCTATTGCTCTTGAAATGTATGCAGCTTGAAGTGTTGAAGTCATTTAAGAAAAAAGTCTACAATACCCTGAATGGGAATGCAGAAAGTTGATATCTAACAGGCTTGATGAAGCCTAACAAGAGATAAAGCAACTTAGCAAGTATAACTCCCACATTGATATCTAGTCAAACACCTGTTTCCTACGCTTAATATCTGATTTCTATGGCAAGAGTCTTAAGCTGGCTTGCAAAGAACAGCCCTTACGGTGTTTCATGCCAGTGTTTTTCCATCCACTGTCCCCTAACATTTCTTCTTGGCTATAAATTCTCAGCTGGCTTTACTGTAACATTGAACTCAATCTTTCACTCCTACTGTAACAAGCCCAGAACTTTGGTCATCCATCTCACACGCCTGTCCCAACATCTCTCTGGAGTATTTGTGTGTTTCTCTGGCCAAACCTGCTGTGCTGGGTCTGAAATTCCCACTGTATCTTCCAACAAGATCTCATATCTCATTCCCCTTTGTGCCGTGGTACATGAGTTTGTAGATCCAGCCGCAATGGAAGGATGGTCAGCATTCAAACTCTGTCACACTGTGTCCCCTGTTGGGCTAACATGCAGCAATATTTAGAATACTTTCATGTGCAATAAAGTTACTGGAGTTACATTAAGGGCTCTCTTAGTTTACAAATGCATTCTAAGATGTATGCAATGACATGATACCTGGGATTATAAATTTAAAGAACACAAAAGTACATGATGCTACAAAAAAACAAAAAACTTGCATGATAAGATAGATGATGTAACACAGGGCAAGGACCCAATAATCATTCCATTTATATAAACATTTGAAAATAGTCTCACAAAAGTGGTGGGCTGCACTCAAGGCTCACTGGTAAAGAACCCACATGCCAATGCAAGAGACGCAGGTTTGATTGATCCCTGGTCTAGAAAGATCCCACAGGCCCCCGGAGCAACTAAGCCCATGCACCACAACTAGTAAGCCTGTGCTTTAGAGCCTGGGAACAATGACTGAAGCCCATGATCTAGAGCCGGTAGTGTGCAACAAGAGAAGCCACTGCTCTCCACAACTAGAGAAAAGGCTGCACAGGAATAAAGATATAGCACAGTCAAAAATAAGTAAGTAAATACAATTATATATATATTTTACAATTATATATTTTTAAAAGTAGAATATGCTCTTGCATCAATAATTTTAACGCTGAGGATAAGTTAAAAATGGCAGGAGGACACTGCTTCAAGGTGTGTACACAAGTATCAAAACATACATCTTAAATAAGTAAAATTTATTTTAAGTCAACTATACATCCATGAAATGTTTAAAACAAATATCCAAAACCTGTCATTTTATAGAGATATATATAGAGATACTGAACTTGTAAAAGGGGAAGTTACACAATGGTGGCCTACTGGCAAAGGTTCCCAACTCCAGGTTAAGTGACATTATGCTGGCAATCTGACACTAACTATGGGAGTATTTACACCCACAGAAATTGGCAAACATTATAAAATAGGACTTACTTTGTAACTTAATGTCTATGCTTAAGACTGAAATAACCTATGTTAAAAATTCAGATTTATCTTAAATGTGTATAATGTATCTGCTCATTACATCATGCATACTAAAGAAACTGACGAAAACACGAGAATATTTTCTTTCAGTATTCCAAATTCTGTGCAGACATCATTGACATTACTGGCTAATGGGTAAACTCTCACAGATGTCTTTCTTGTTTACCTGCTCTCCTATTCATCAAAAAAAAAAAAAGAAAGAAAATGGGGACATAAAAGAATGCGAAAGATAAGAATAGGAAGATCTCCAAACAAGACACATAGGTAAAGAGATATTAAGAAACAACACTCAACCTCAAGAATCCTGACAAATGCAATTAAAATCATGATTTCACACTGCTGTTACATGGTCTTCATTGGAGGTATCAGCATGCATCCAGTCTTAGATTTTAACATAGGTTGAATTTCTGGGTCCTATGGTAGCTTTATTCCTACATTTAAGAAATCTCCATACTGTCCTCCCTAATGTTGATATCAATTTCCACTCTCACTATATACCCTGAGAAAACCATAATTCAAAAATACACGTGTTCCAATGTTCACTGCAGCAATATTAAAATAGCTAGGACATGGAAGGAACCAAGATACTCACTGACAGATGAATGGATAAAGAAGTTGTGGTATATATATATAGTATTACTCAGCCATAAAAAATAATCAATGTGTCAGTTCTAGTGAGGTGGATGAACTTAAAAGCCCATTATACAAAGTCAAAAAAAGGACAACAAATACAGCTTACTTATGCACACATATGGAATCTAGAAACATGATACTGATAAACTTATTTGCAAGGAGAAAACAGAAATATAGACAGATTTATGGACACAGCAGGTGAAGGAGAGGGTGAGAGGAACCCAGAGTTATCATTGAAATATATAATTACCATGTGTAAAATAGCTAGTGAGAAGTTGCTGTATAACACAGGGGGCCCAACTCAGTGCTCTCTGACAACCTAGAGAGGTGGGATGGAGTGGGGGGGGGGGGTGCGGGGGCACGGTCAAGAGGGAGGGTACATATGTAGCCTTATGGCTGATTCATGTCATTGTATGAAAGGAACCAAAGTACTGTAAAGAAAGTTTCCAAACAAAAATTTTTTTTAAGAAATGTTCATCAACTGTGCTTCCTAATGATGGGGGGGGGGGGGAGGGCAAGTTCTTACTGATTAACAATCATTACTGGGCAACTTCCATTTTTTGAAGTGAGTGGGGGTAGGAGGAGCAGTGACAGGACATGCAGAGGTTAACAGGAAGAATGTTGGAGACCAGGCTATGTGAGGACCACAGAGGATACTCTTAGTTCTTCAGTGTTCCTCACACTGCCTAGAACATGAGTGGGTCAACTGCATAATGGGACAACAGGCACATCCCAAAGTGGTGAAGCCAGTGTAAAATGTAGAGTGACCCAACGAGCGAGTCTGGAGTCCCTGGCTTAGTGTTGCTGTCCCTTTGAAGAACTTGCAAGGGGAGAGTGTTTGCAAGAATTGTGCAAAGGTGGAAATGAAGCTGGAACCCCTGGTGGTGATGCAGGCATCAGGTGTGCATAGTTCATGGTCAGAACACAGGAAATGAGTCCCTGCTCTGAGCAGCAGAAAAGCCACCAGCGTATATGCGCACTGTAGAAGAATCCGTCTCACAAAAGGTCTAGCAATAGAGAGCCCTTATGAAAAGCCCTCTACCTCTCTGAGATGGATGCCCCTTCTTTCTCAGATAGCAATAATAAAAACTGAATCACAGCACTGGTTTTGTTGAGTAGCTAAATGGAAGAATCTGCAGGAAAGTCATCAATGTTGGTTTTCAGAAAAAAGATAATCAGTGTGAGGCTAGGGTATAAGCAGGGCTCATCAGGCAGGAGATGAGGGGTGCAGAAGTGTCAGGATGGATAAGGTGTTCTTTTAGTCTCCAAACCTGGAGGGAGCAGGAAGAGGTAAAATGACCAGACTCCCTAAATCTTGAAACAGGTTACCTGGAATTAAATCCCAGACCCGTATCGATTGCGAAGAGATCACAAACATGATACAGCATCTCTGTGCTTCAGTTTCCTCTCTAGAAAGTGTCCATTTGCTCTATAGGTACGTCCCACTTTCTTACTACCTCAAATCCCTCAATGTCACTGCCAGTCATATTGCGATATTCATAAAGCCCTTTCTCCAGTGTGAGCTACTTGACGGCTAATCAAGTGGCACTTTCAGGAAAATGATTCACCACATTCCTTGCACTCGTAAGGGTTTTCTCTAGCGTGGTTTATCCTAAAGGAACTCAGTTGGTGGGTTTCGTTAAAGGATGTCCTATATTCACTGCGCATATACAGTGTTTCTCCTCTGTGACTGCCCTGATGATAATGGAAGCCAGACAGACTATATAAGACTTATCACATATATTATACTAATAAGGCCTTTCTAAAGTATGAATTCTCTGATGTCCAATGAAACAGTACTTACAGGTAAAAGATTTATCACATTCTTTGTACTGATAAAGCTTTTCTCCACTATGGATTTTGCTGTGGGTACTGAGGTTCTTCCTTCAGCTAAAGGATTTCCAACATTCAGTGCAGGCATAAGGCCTTTCTCCATTGTGAACTCTGTGATGTACAAATATATTCCAGTTTTGGAAAAAAGATGTATTATATTCATTGCACTTGTAAGACTTTTCTCCAGTGTGGATTTTCCTATGGATATGTAGAAGCTGTCTCTGGCCAAAGCATTACCAATACTTAAGCCCTTTCAGAAGTGTGAACTCTCTGATGCCGATGAAGTCCTGACCTATCAGTAAAACATTTCCCACATTCTCTGCACTCATAAGGCTTTTCTCCACTGTGAACTCTCTGATGCCGATGAAGACGTGACCGATCAATAAAACATTTTCCACATTCAATGCACTCATAAGGTCTTTCTCCACTGTGAACACTCTGATGATTCTGGAGGCCTCTCTTAACAATAAAAGATTTCCCACATTCACTGCACTGATAGGGCCTTTCTCCGCTGTGAACTCTCTGATGATACCGGAGACCACTTGAAAAAATAAAACATTTCCCACATTCACGGCACTCATAGGGCCTTTCTCCACTGTGAACTCTCTGATGATACTGAAGACCTCTCTTATCAATATAACATTTCCCACATTCACTGCACTCATAAGGCCTTTCTCCAGAATGAACTCGCTGATGATAATGGAGGTCAGATTTAGCGATAAAAGATTTCCCACATTCACTGCACCCATAGGGCCTCTCGCCACTGTGAACTCTCTGATGATACTGGAGGCCACGCAGAGCAACAAAAGACTTTCCACATTCACTGCACTCATAAGGCCGTTCGCCAGTGTGAACTCTCTGATGGTCAATTAACCTCCCCTTCTGGATGAAAGATTTACCACATTCCTTGCATTTATAAGGCTTTTCTCCAGTGTGGATTTTTCTATGGATTCTGAGGTACCTCCTTTGGCTAAATGACTTTCCACATTCAGGACAGGCATATAGCGTTCCTCCAGAGTTAAATCTCTGACCTGCAAGGAAGCCAGATTTGTGGGTAAAAAATTTTCCAGAATGGCTGCATTCATAAGACCTTGCTCTGGCACGAACTTCCTGGTGCTGAATAAGGCTATTTCTTTGGGTGCAGGCTTCCCTACATTTGCTGAACTCACAAAATCCTTCACCAGTGAGGGCTTCTTCATCCTGAACAAGTATGTCTGTGGGGCTGGAGACTATCTTGCCTCCTCTCCAGCTCTGATGACTTTTTCCACTGTGAAAAACAGCATCATACTCCTCACTGTTGTTTTGTGCCATCCTGGTATTAGTGGTTTGTTTCTGAACTCCCATGTAGGCCACTAAGTCATTCCCAATCTCCGCGTTGGTAGACAGATTCCTTGCTGCATGGACTGTACAGCTTTTCAAATATGCAGGTCTTCCCATATGACACTGGCAGAATTTCACTCCAATGCGGTGCTGAACATTGGCAGTAAAATAGAACTGTTTCCCACATGCCCCACACATGTATTCTTTTTGCTCCCTATTTGTTCCTTGCTCTTCAGCTAAATGTAAAATGTCTCTCAAGACTGGGACACATATCTTACAGGGCTGGGTATTCTCAGGAGACAATTCTGCCCTGGGAGCCCTAATCTGTGATGCTCCCTCTGCAGATACATTCTGTTCAGAACATGTCTCTGCATCCTGGACTCCACGACAAGAACCTGAAAACAAACAGGTTGACTTTATTGGAGGGAATGACATCATCACAACTGTACATCTGATACATGAAAGAGGCACTCCATGGAATCCTGTTCAGGACATGAACTGGGATTAATCTGAAGCAGCAGCTGCTCTCACCACGTCCAGGACACAAGGACTGGATGTGGCTCTCACAACCAAGTGGTTAAGACACCGCACTGCCAATGCAGGGAGTGCAAGATCAATCCCTGGCCATGGAACTTAGATCCCACATGTCTCACAGTCAAAAAAAAGAGGAAAAGATAAAAAAAAAAAAAGAAATAGTTACTCTATCAATATCAAAGCTGACTTAACACAAGCAAAGTCATCAGGGATAAAGAGAATAACACAATGATAAAGGGGTCAGTTTTTCAGATTTCAAAATAATCCTTCAAAACATTTATGCGCCTAACAACAGGATATTTAAATGTGAGGCAAAACAGACCTACAAGTAGAAACAGATGTAATAGTTGGAGACTATAATAGTTGGAGACTTCATTCAACATTCCTCTACCAGAAATGAACAGATTCGGGAAACAGAAATTCCATAAGGATGCTGTTGAACTGAAAAGTACCATCATCAATCAACTGGATGTAAGGACACCTAAAGACTACTAGTATACTCCATCCAAAATCAGCACAATAGTCTATTCATGCTAATATATAACATTCACAAGATAGACCACATCCTAGGTCAGAAAACATACCTTAACAAATTTTAAACAACTGAAATCATACAATGTCTTTTCTCAGAGCACAATGGAATTATAACAAAAATTGGTAACACAGTTGGGAAGAACCCCTGGAAAAGAGAAAGGCTACCCACTCCAGTATTCAGGCCTGGAGAATTCCATGGACTGTATAGTCCATGGGGTCACAAAGAGTTGGACATGACTGAGCAACTTTCAAAAAAAAAAAATAAGCAACACAAAGATAGCTGAAAAAAATCCCAAAATTTTGAAAATTAAACTATACACTTTCAAATAAAACATGGGTCAAAGAAGTAGTCCCAAAAAAGAAATGTTAAGAAAACTCTTAGTTAGAACTGGACATGGAACAACAGACTGATTCCAAATAGGAAAAGGAGTACATCAAGGCTGTATACTGTCAGCCTACTTATTTGACTTATATGCAGAGTACATCATGAGAAATACTGGGCTGGAAGAAGCACAAGCCAGAATCAAGATTGCCAGGAAAAATATCAATAACCTCAGATATGCAGATGACACCACCTTTATGGCAGAAAGCGAAGAACTACTAAAGAGCCTCTTGATGAAAGTGAAAGAAGAGAGAGAAAAAGTTGGCTTAAAGCTCGACATTCGGAAAACCAAGATCATGGCATCTGGTCCCATCACTTCATGGCAAATAGATGGGAAAACAGTGGCAATAGTGACTGACTTTATTTTTGGGGGCTCCAAAATCACTGCAGATGGTGACTGCAGCCATGAAATTAAATGATGCTTACTCCTTGTAAGGAAAGTTATGACCAACCTAGACAGCATTTAAAAAGCAGAGACATTAAAAAAAAATTAAATTAAAAAAAAAAAAAGAGAGACATTACTTTGTCAACAAAGGTCCATCTAGTCAAGGCTATGGTTTTTCCAGCAGTCACGTATGGATGTGAGAGTTGGACTGTAAGGAAAGCTGAGTGCCAAAGAATTAATGCTTTTGAACTGTAGTGTTGGAGAAGACTCTTGAGAGTCCCTTGAACTGCAAGGAGATCCAACCAGTCCATCCTAAAGGAGATCAGTCCTGAATATTCATTGGAAGGACTGATGCTGAAGCTGAAACTCCAATACTTTGGCCACCTGCTGCGAAGAGCTGGCTGATTTGAAAAGACCCTGATGCTGGGAAAGATTGAGGGCAGGAGGAGAAGGGGACGACAGAGGATGAGCTGGTTGGGTGGCATCACCAACTCAATGGACAAGAGTTTGGGTAAACTCCAGGAGTTGGTGATGGACAGGGAGGCCTGGCGTGCTGAGGTTCATGGGGTCGCAAAGAGTCAGACACAACTGAGTGACTAAACTGAAATGAAGAAACTTTTTAAGTATTTTCAAATAAACACAACACTTCTCAAAGTAAGTGAAAGCAGTGTTTATAAGGCAATTTATAACACTGAATGAACATATTACAAAAGGAGACCTAAAATCAATTATCTGTGCTTTTACCTTTTAAAACTACTATATAGAAAAATCAACAAAGCTCAAAAAAACCTTGTTATTTAAAATGACTAATAATATAAAAAGGATTCTAGTCAGTCTAACTGTGAATATGAGGCAGTACACAAATTAATAATATCAAAAATGAAAGAAAAGGGAAAAAAATGAAAGAGGTGGGATATCCCTGGTGGTCCATTGGCTAAGACTCCTAACTCTCAAAGCAAGGGGCCCAGATTCCATCTCTGGTCGGGGAGCTAGATACCACATGCTGCATCTAAGAGTTCACATGCCTCAACTAAAAGATCCACATGCTACGAAGTATCAGTAAATTCAATCAAACACTGTAAAAAAAATATATATTATATACCATGACCAACTGGGATTATTGCAAGGTACACAAGGATAATGTAACATTCAAAAATCAATAAACGAAATCCATGTCCAGAATCCCCTGGCAGTCCAGTGGCTAAGAATCTATCTGCAGGGGATATGGATAAGATCCCTGGTCCAGGAAGATTCCACATGCCACAGGGCAACTAAACCCTCAGGTCACAAGTACTGAAACCAACCTGTAAACCTTGCTCACCACAACTAGAGAAAATCCTCCCAGCAACAAAGACCCAATGCAACAACAAAAAAATTTTTTTAAGTATTCTAAAAACAAAAGCAACCAAAAACGACAGAGAAAATATTTTCAAATGATGTAAGTCAGAAAGAGAAAGACAAATACCATTTGATATCACTTCTTTATGGAATCTGAAATATGACACAACGTATCTACATATAAACATGCCTAGGAAACAGAAACAGACTCAGGAATAGAGAACAAACTTGTGTCTGCCAAGTGGGAGGGAGTTAAGTGAGGGAAGGATTGGGAATATAGGATTAGCGATGCAAACTAGTAAACATAGCATGGATAAACAAGGTCCTGATGTCATATTACAGGAAACTATATTCAATATCTGTGATAAACCGTAAGGGAAATGAATAAGGAATATATATATATATGTCTGTGTGAATGTGTGTGTATAAAAAAAAACAGTAGCTATGCTGTGCAGCAAAAATTAACATAAAGTTTAGAACTGAACAGAATATTTTAATAAAATTATAAAAACAAAAAAACTACTGACCCTGAATCCTGAGCTGCAAATTTGGGGATACAGGTGTTCTGGCACTGAGGCTGTACTCTTCCTAGCTATACTAACCACAGGACATAACTCAGCATTTTGAGAAAGTAGTGCCCATGGTCCATATGTGAGAAGGACAAAACTGCCCCAGGGGAAAAGGAGAAAGGCAGAGCCTAGCTCAGAGGAAGGAGGTGAGTGTGCAGGCCTTACCCAGCATGCACACAAGTGCAAAGTTCTCCAGCATGACATCAAGGTACAGGTGTATTTGAACCTCATCAAGAAGACACCATTCATCCCAGGAGAAGTACACAGCCACATCCTCAAAGGTCACACTGCCCTGGTACAATAGGGACAAATAAAACAATGAACAAACTCACTCCCAAAAAACCACCATCCAACTTCTTTGCACATCTCCCCCACTTCCCAGTCAGATGGGGCCTCTTGAAACCTGGGGTTAAAAAAAAAACCTCCGTTAAAAAAAAAAAAAAAAAAAAAAAAAAAAAAAAAAAAAAAAAAAAAACCTCCCTCCTTTGATCTGACTCTCCCATTGGCTCCAGAAAACACAGGTAGTTGTTTCAAGCCAAAATCCTGCTCTTCCCTACTGTTTATTCCCACCAGGAAAAAAAAAAATACCTGCACTTACCTAAACCAGTTAGGCCTAACATTAAAAATGACCAGTTCCACACTTCCTTCCATTGATGATGGAAAATAAAAATCACCTCAACAAACCCCAGCCTGCATTCAGGACCCTGAACGTGGGGTTCTCCAGTGTTCCCAAACCAAGGGTCTGGGTAAATGGCAGGTGAAGAGCCTCAAGACCCTTCTCAAATACAAACAATGCGTGCATCGGCTTGAAAATAATTGAGGGACAGGGACAACCTCCATTTACCAAAAATGCTTCTGCAGTCCTGGGAATCTGTGGGAACGGGAAGGCCATGGAGGAAGGTGACCTGGGTGACGCTCCACGGGCTCAAACTTTCCCAGGACTTGTGCCTGGGACCAGAGCCCTGGTAATGGCATGGTGGCTGGCTAAGGTCTTCTTCATGACGCCATCCTCAGTACTACCTCTTACGAGTTGTGAGCAAGGAAAAGCCAGAAATTCCCTCTGCCTCAAATTAATCATCACCCACCAACAGACTTTTCTTTCAGTGAACAGTTTTGGAGCCTAATTTTAAAAACCTAAATTCAGATGACGTTCCTCCTGTGCTCAAAACTCTTCACCGATTCCAGAGGGTCTATGCAGGAAATTAGAATCTCTCATTTGCCACTCCAGGTGAAGCCTGCCCGCAAACTTTGATCCTCACAGAAGTTGGGCGGACCTGTGGTTCCCCAACATTCCTGCTTCAGTTGCATCTCAAAGCCTCACTCACACATTATACAGGTCCTCGGAAATAAGGACATCCCCCGTGAAGGCCTGCAAGAGGCTTGCAAGCCTGTCGTGAAAGAGGGCCCTGAGATAAAGCGACCTGAGCAGGCGCTCTCACACGGGGCATTCATATTTTGACGGCAAAGGGAGCAGGGCAGAGCGTTTACCTGAGGTGGCGCCGGCAGCGAAGCCGCCGCCATCCGAGCCTGTAGGCGGAACGGAGCTTCCAAAGTGGAGCGACCAGGTCGGTTTCGGTACGATAACTCCCCGCAGGTGACCTCCCCGACCCTAAGAACAGACCCTGTGCAGTGTGCACGAAGGCTCCGCTTCAGCCTTACGCCCCTCACTTCCCAGCAAACTCCTCACTCCTAAGCTTATCACCAGCCCCACGGTCTCAACAACAAACAAAACGTCTAAATAAACGCGCCGGAAGTCACACTACCAGATGTTCGGCCTCCAGGAAATGCGCAGCTTCTGAATTTTCAAGGGCTCTACCTCTCCTTAGCGCAAGCTCTTCTGGGAAATGTAGTGCCAAGGCCTCAAGGGATGGCGCCATACTGTGAGCCCAAGGAGGAAAGCCAAGAAGCACTGGGAGGAGCGCTGGGAAATCACGTGTCGGGGGGCCTCCGTCCTCATTAAAGACATGGGAGTCGATGACGAAATAGGGGGAGGGTGCTTCAGAGAATTTAAATCTTTAATGATACTGATCACTGAAGTGTAGGGATAATCTAGCTGACATCCATTGGGTAACTGGAAGTAAGAAAACATTATCTGATTGCTCTTGAAATGCATGCAGCCTGAAGTGCTCAAGTCATCTGTAAATTATGGTCAGGGAAAAGAAAAAAAGACTACAGGATTCTGAATGGGAATGTGGAAAGTTGATACTGGGCAGGCCTGCTACAGCTGAACAAGAGAGAAAACACTTAGAAAAGGCTGTCTTGCCTGCATAGTCAGTGATGGTTTGCAACTAAGTGAGAAACAATGATGGATAATCAGGACACCCAAAATGGCTGTATTCTTCCTCTTTGTATATTCCGTGCCCCACCAGTCCGATTCACCTATACCCTACTCACCTGCCTGAACTTTCACTTAACAATAAATCCTCATCTGTCAATACCTACCTTCTTGCTCTAGCTCCAGATAGTCCTTGTTTTTGTCATTAGATAGTAATTACTTCACATTGAGTTTCTCAGAGACTGTGAGTGGCCTGCTTTTTTCCTGGTTTCCCTGTCAACTGATGAGCCAACCTCACCTCAATTCCCTCTAAAGCAAGTAACCTCCCTATCCTCCCCAGTAAAATAAAAAGCCTACCGCCACATCCTGCCTGCTGTGTCTGACCACAGTGGTGTGTCTCTCCTGGACCTTGTGATGTCTTTGTCTTTGTCTCTGGGCTCTTTCTTTGGTATTCAGGCTGAGCGATTATTAATATGTTATCCCGACTCTAAGACTAGACCCCTTTGTCTCTCACAGCTGATCAGTGTCTCCAGTTTCTGCCACTCCTGCCCTGCCTGGCACAGTTCCACAGGGAGGAGGCAGGGCCAGGGTGGCTTCTCAGTAGGTATGCTGGGGTGGGTAAACTGTGGCTAAGCAGCTCTCAAAAATATGGGCTGCTCCTCATGAATCCATGGAGTAACTGCCAACAATGGCCACCACAGCCCAGCCTGGGCTCTGCCCTGGAACTTGCCTTTGCTCCCCAAAATCAAGTCCTTACCCTGGTCTTGACTGCACCAGATCCAGCAACATGTTGGGGCATGGAGTCAGTGGAGCCAGAGCATGTCTTCTCCTTGGCTGGGGTATATGTGAACCTGCTCACTGGAAACCAGCTGCTGATAAAGCCGACCTCACTCTGCCAGGCTCTAGGGCCAGGAGCGAGCAAGCAAACTCCAACTAAACAGGGTTCAGGCTCCCGCAACTTTTCTATCTGTCCTACTGTGCCTCCAACCAGTCCACCACATAGAACCTAGAACTGGGACATTCTGTTTCTTGAACTACTCACACTCCAGATGCCATGATGTTACAAAAACACACAAAAAAAATGCATGATATTGTTAGGTAGTTAGAATACGGAAAAGGAGTCCAGAATGGCAGTAGCTAAAAGACCTGGACAATAGAACAAAGGAAAGTCTGAGGACCAGAGTGAGAACCTCAGGTGAAACAAAAGGCACTCCTGGCTGGCCCAATTTACATAGGACAGGCCCAGGGAGAGAAAAACACATAAAAAGAGGAGCCAAAGCTAGCTCTCTCGCTCTCTCTCTTGCTCTCTCTCTCTCCTGCACACTGGGGCTCTCTTCTCTTTGCATCTTTGAATCAACGTGCCCTGGTGCCTCAAAGATGGATTTTCCTGCTATCTTCTAAATAAAATAGAGCTGTAACACTGAGCTGTAACACTGACTTATCTAAGAGCTATAACATGGTCTGTTCAAGACCTGAGAGCTATAACACAGTCTGTCTAAGACCCGAGAGCTGTGACACGCCAAGGGGGGCTTTAAATCTCCAAATCTTTGTTGTGACAAGACATAAACCAAGGAGCATACACTCGCCTGATAATATGATAAATGATCTCACAAAGGGGTAGGACCCAATAGTCATTCCGTTTATATAAACATTTGAAAATAGTCATCACAAAAGTAGTGGGCTTCCCTCGTGGCTCAGTGGTCAAGACTGCATCTGCCAATGCAGGAGACAAGGGTTCAATCCTTGGTCCAGGAAATACCACAGGTCACAACTACTGAGCCTATGGTCTAGAGCCTGGGAACCAAAACCACGAAGCGCATATGCAAAACCTACTGAAGCCCGAGTGCCCTAGAGCCCTGCTCTAGCATGCTGCAATGAGATGCCCGTGCATCACAACTAGAAACTAGAAAAAAGCCTGTGCAACAATGAAGACCCAGCACCACCAAAAATAAATAAAATTATATATTTTAAAAAGTGGAATATTAAAAAAATACATAAATAAAAAGTGGAATATGCTCTTACATCAGTAATTTTAATGTTGAGGATGAATTAAAATGGCAGGTAGAAACTGGTTTGAGGGGTATACACAAAGTATCAGAATATTGAAATTTACATTTTAAATATGTAAAATATAAGTCTACTACACAACCAAAAAACGATTTTTAAAATATGCAAAACCTGTCACCATATGATCATTCAACTATGGTAGCATTCTTGAAAGTTATTTTTGGCTACCAAACCTGTAAGGGGGGAAAGTATACAGTGGTGCACTACTGGCAATGCTTCCCAACTCCATGTTCAGTAACATTATGTTTGCAATCCGACATTGGCCGTGGAAGTATTTACACTCACGGAAATTGGCAAACACTATGATATAAAGCTAAATATAATATAAAGCTAAATATCAAAAAAGGATTTACTTTGTAACTGAATGTCTGCACTTAAGATTGAGGTAGCTTATGTTAGTAGTATACATTTATCTTAAATGTGTATAATGTATTTGATCATTACATTATGTGTAGCAAAGAAATTGAGGAAAACATGAGAACATGTTCTCTCAGTATTCCAAATTCAAATTCCATGCAGGAGACACTCACATTATTGAAGAATATGTGAAATATCACAGATATCTTTGTTGTTTCCCTGCTCTTCTATTTGTCACAGAAAGGGAAAATGGGGAAATCCCACAAAATAAAAGTAGGCAAAAAGATAGGAACAGAAAGATACCCAAACAAGACACGCAGGAAAAGAGACATTAAAAACCAACAACACTCAACATCAAAAATCCTGAGAAATGCAATTAAAATCATAATGATTTCATACTGCTATATTACAGTCTTCATTGGAGGTGTCAGCATGCATTCAGTCTTAGAGTTTAAGGTAGGCTGGATTTCTGGGTGACGTGGTAGTTTTTAGCTTTTTAAGAAATCTCCATTCTGTTCTGCATAATGACGGTATCAATGTACATTCCCACCATAGACCCTGAGAAAACCATAATTCAAAAAGAAACATGGACCCCAGTGTTCATTGCATACTATTTACAATAGCTAGGACATGGATGCAAACTATATGTCCACTGACAGATGAATGGGTAAAGAAGTTGTGGTACATGTATACAATGGAATATTACTCAGCCACCTGATGCAAAGAGCTGACTCATTTGAAAAGACCCTGATGCTGGGAAAGATTGAGGGCAGGAGGAGAAGGGGACGACAGAGGATGAGCTGGTTGGGTGGCATCACCTACTCAATGGACATGGGTTTGGGTGGACTCCAGGAGTTGGTGATGGACAGGGAGGCCTGGCGTGCTGAGGTTCACGGGGTCACAAAGAGTCAGACACAACTGAGCGACTGAACTGAACTGAACAATGTTAAACTCCTTCAAAGTCATAGCCAGCCATATTTGGGATATTCATAAGGTTCTTTCTCCAATGTGAACTCTGATGAACAAAGAGACTGGATTTACTAATAAAAGACTTCCTGCATTCGCTGCACACATAATGCCTTTCTTCAGTGTGAACTCTCTGATGACAATGAAGACTTGAACTATCAATAAAACATTTCCCACATTCACTGCACTCATAAATTTCTCCAAGATGGATTTTCCTATGGGAACTGAGGTGGTGGATTTGATTAAAGGATGTCCTACATTCTCCAGGCTTATATAGCCTTTCTCCTCTGTAAATGCCCCGATGATAATGAAAGCCACATACTTTACACTCATAACGCCTTTCTCCAGTATGAGTTCTTTGATGTTCAATGAGAGTACTTACAGGTAAAAGATGTATCACATTCCTTGCACTGATATGGCTTTTCTGCAGTGTGGATTTTCCTATGGTTACTGATCTCCCAGCTTTGGTAAAATGTGCTGCAACTAAAAGATACTAAGTGTCACAATTTAGACTCAGCACAGCCAAATAAATAAATAAAATTTTTTAATGTGGGTCTACCCATATCATATTGGCAGGATTTCTCCCCAACATGCTGCTTCTGGTGGTGCTGAATGTTGGCAGTGAAACAGAATTATTTCCCACATGACCCACATACACATGTTTTCTGCCTGCTGTTTGTTCCTTGTTCTTCAGCCAAATGTAAAATGTCTCTCAAGACTAGATGCACATCTTACACAGCTGGACCTTCTCAGGAGACAAACCTGTGCTGGATGTCCTCATCTGTGAGACTCCTTCTGCAATTCACTCTGTTGCAAAAGTGTCTCCTTATCCTGGACTCCATGCCAAGAATCTGAAAACAAATAAGTGGTAGAGAAGTCCTTGTTGACTTTTTTGGAGGAAGGGATGACATCAGAAGTCCATGTCAGACACGTGGAAGAACCACTGCCCTGGAGTATGTTCCGAAATAGGCTTGGAGTCAAATTGAGGAAGCAGTTGCAGGAATCGTAGGCTGCAGTGAGGTTAAGACTGGGAAGCAGTAGAAATGACAAATAGACAAAAGGTCAAGAATAGACAAAGATGAGAGAAGTGATTTGTAGCCACTGACAATGGCACCACGACACTTGTCCGAAGGAAGAAAGTCATTCTTTCTGGTATGACTTGAACACAGACCTGATATCAAGCCCTCACCCAGCTGCCGTTCATTTCCCCAGGGTACCTCTGAGCACTTTATGTTGAGACCAGAGTGATGTCCATACCATAAAGCCCCAAAGATTCTCCATTGCAAGCTGAAAGACTACATGGGACACAAACTATACAACTTCTAACTGAGTCAGGATGGGTGAATGGTAACAGTGGCCCAGAGGAACTCAGTACACAATATGTGACATTTAAATATTACATTAAAAAATCCAGTGGATCCAGGGAAAAGGATGGACAGTGGATAGAATTTAGGAATTTTAGGACACTATCTTCACCAAAACGTAGTAATAACTGTACCTACAGAGTCTAATTTATCTAACACTTTTGCAACTATGGAGCCTACTGAATAACTGCAGTGTCCCACGAAACAGAGTTTGAAGAGATAAAGATTCACAACCAGAATCAGATATCACATGGATGTTAAAATGATCACATTGGAAATACAAAATAATTATGAATAAGCTAATTAACCTCTGCTAAAGAATAAAGAAAACAGCATACAATACCAGAAGGACAATGTAAATTGAGAAATGAGAATTCTAACAGAGGACCAAAAAACAAAGCTACAGTCAAGTACACTGTAACTGAAATGAAGAATGACTGTGATGCACATATTATTCACAGGCTGAACACAACTGAGAAAAGGATGTTTAAGCTTGATGTTCTCTTAATATAAACTTCCAAAACTAAAAAGCAAACAAGAAATGACATAAAATAAAATGGAAAACACCGGAACATTCAAGATCTGTGGGAAAACTGCAAAAGGTTTAACATACACATATGGAAACATGACAAAGAGAAAAAGAAAAAAGAACAGAAGAAATTCTTGAGGCAATAATGATGGAGAAACTTCAATCAAATTAATGTTAGATACCAACCCATAGATCCACAAATCTCACAGATCATCAGACAGATTGAATTAAAAAAAACCTACAGGTGGGTATATCACATTCAAATGCAGGAAATAAAAAAGAATCCTCAAAGAAACCACAGGAATAAATGCCTTATTCATAGAGAAGCAACAAAAACAATTATATTTGAATTCTCCTCAGAAATCAGGCAAATAAGAATGGAGTGGAGTTAAAATATTTAAAGTGCAGTGGGTGTGGTGATTATGATGGGGTTTGGGGAGGGTGGACATCCCCAATCTAGAGTTTAATATCTGTAACATTAATCTATTTTTTTTGGTAGCATTAATCTTTAAGAGTGATGGTGAAATACTTTCTTAGATACAGAAAAATTGTGGGAATATAGTAAAGGAAATTCTTTAGACAGATGAAAAATGACATCAATTAAAAATCTGGGTTTCAGAATTCCCTGATGGTCCAGTGGCTAAGACTCCATGCTCCCAAAGCAGGGGGCCTGGGGTCAATCCCTGGTCAGGGAACTAGATCCCACACATTGCAACTAAGACCCTGTGCAGCCAAAATAAATAAAAATAAATACTTAAAAAAAAATCTGGGTTTCATAGAGAAAGTAAGAGCATCAGAGAATTTAAAAATTTCACTGACATATAACTGCAGTGGAACACTATATTTCTTTAAACTGTATAACATGATCTGATATTGGCTTCCCTGGTGGCTCATATGGTAAAGAAACTGCCTGCAATGCAAGAGACCCGGGTTCAATCCCTGAGGCAGGAAGATCTACTGGAGAAGGGAATGGCTACCTACTCCAGTATTCTTGCCTGGAGAATTCCATGGACAGAGGAGCCTGGCAGATTACTGTCCTTCGGGTCACAAAGAGTTGGATACAACTGAGCTACTAAGTACTACATATACACTGCACTAACTAACAAATTAAGTTTAGTTAACAGAGTTACAATTTTTTTCTGATGATGAGAACTTTTAAAAACCACTCTCTTAGAAACTTCTGAATATACAGTATAGTTTTTGGACTTTCTTGGCGGTCCAGTGGTTAGGACTCTACACTTACACTACAGAGGATGAGTATTCTATCCTTTGTCAGGGAACTAGATCCCACAAGCGACTCATTTAAATAAATAAATAATTAATTAATTAAATATAAGATACAGTTTTGTTAATGAGTCATCATGCTGTGCATTACATTAAAAAATTCAATCATCTTATAAGTAGAAATCTATCACTTCTGACACCCTTCACTTATTTTATCAATGGACCTCCCCCCTCTTTGGCAAGCATCAATTGTTAATCTGTATCTGAGTTTGGCGTTGTTGATATTATTTTAAATATTCAACATGTTAGAATAATCATACAGTACAGTTAATCCTGGATCTAATAATGGGTTAGAACAGCTTGGCTTCACTCATATATGGATTTTTTTTAAACATGGATATTTTTCAATAAACACAGATGACTATAGGATCTATACTTGGAAAAATCATAAATGCAAAAACTTCAGAATCAGAGAGCTGACTATGGGACTTTAGCATCCAATGATTTCAGTATAGGCAGGGGCTCCTGGAACCAATCCTCTGTGGAGGAAGAGTGACAATTGAGAAAAATAATAAAAAGGAAGAGAGAAAGCAATTAGGAGTTTTAAAAATTATAAGGTGTTAGGTAGTTAGAATAGGAAACAGGATCCAAAATGGCGGTGGCTAAAAGACAAGGAAGGGAAAAGCCCGTGAAAATAGAACAAAGGAAGGTCAAAGGAAGGCCGGAGAGTGAAGACCTCAGGTAGAAGAAACAGCACTCCTGCCTAAGCCCATTTTGCATAGGGCAGGCCCAGGGGGAAGGAAAAACTTGTAAAAGGAGGATCCAAAGAGCTTTCTTTCTCCCTCTCCCCTGCATGCATGCGCCCCGCCCCCCCACCCCCTCACCGCCCCACCCTGCGCTGGCTGGCGCGCTCCTCCACTCTCTTCTTTAGGTTAGCTTGCCCTCACACTTCGAGGATGGATTCTCCTGCTATCTTGTAAATAAAATAGAGCTGTAACACTGCTTTCTCTAAGAGCTATAACTCAGTCTGTTTGAGACCTGAGAGGTATAACACGGTCTGTCCAAGACCCAAGAGCTGTAATGCATTGAGGGCTTTGATGTCCGTAGCTCCAAATCTTTGTTGTGATGAGACAGAACCGAGGAGCATACACTCACCTGACATAAGGTATTCAAATCACCCAGGAAGCCACAGAGTGTTCTATGAAAATGGACTTCAGTTCAGTTGCTCAGTCGTATTTGATATAACTGGATATATCGACACCTATAGACTACTAGCTTACTCCATCCAAAAACAACACATAGTCTTCTCATGCTGAGATATATTGTTGTAGCCACGAGTTCCGGGAAACAAACTCACTCAGAAGGACAATGCAGATAGTGGAGTGCAGTTTATTACACCAGCGGGCCCACGGCAGAGTCTCTGTTTAGCCAAGAACCCTGAGCAATTTTTCTGAAAACCTTATATAGCCTAAGTGCCCAAACCCACCTCCCCAAATTCCCTGAAACTAGTCTGAACAAAGAAAAAGAAAGATGTGATCAAAGTTAACCCGTCATTCATATGCCTTAAGCCTAGGTAGTTAACAATGGACAATTATCAATAGACTTGTGGTCATACTCCAATAAGCATAATAGAATTTATGATTCTATTCAGTTACACAGATAATTAGGGTATTCTTTTAGGCAATAGAGAGTCCCAAAATGCATGTTATGGATGAGGGACCTCGTGCCATCCTGAGTTTTAAGACATTCCTTTCTTTTAATTAACAGACTGCTAGTGACTATATAACATCCAGCTGAACACTAGCAACGGGGTACTCTTTCTGCCCCCTTCTGATGCCTATGTCAGAAGCTTTCTCTATCTCCTTCATATTTTAATAAAATTTTATTACACAAAAGCTCTGAGCGATCTAGCCTCGTATCTGGCCCCGGATTGAATTCGTCTCTTCCAGAGGCCAAGAATCCCAGCGTCTTATCGTTCGGCAACAACCTTTCACAGGGACCTGAGTGGCGACAGTAGGGCGACCAGGTCGGATTCCGCATGGTTATTCCCCACCAATGCCAAAGTCTAAGACCTTGTGCAGTATGAACAAAACCTCCACTTCCGCCTTAGGCCCCTCACCTCCCTCCCAGATCTCACTGCAGAGTTTCTGACCAGATCCACAGTCTCAACAACAATCAAATCTGTGCCTAACGACAAAAAGGCTACATGTTCTAATGGATCTCCCTCTCCCTTAGGAAGGATGAATTCCTTCTCCAGCCCTAGAGGTCACTTCTCAGCTCTCCTGGCAGTTCAGCTTGGCTTTTTCTGCCCCAATGTTTCAGGTGTGGACCATTCTTCCTTGAGGACTTAGAACTACATTACCCAGAAGTGTTGCGCTATGGAGGAGCGACGTTTATCCAATGAAAATACAGAAAGGGAGCGTTTCCGGGGAGGGGCTCCCGGTGTCTTCCTGGCGGACATTTTGATTGCTCGCAAGTCTGTGGAGCTGGACGGAGGGTCTGAGCGTGGGTGTTGGGAGGCCTGTTACAAGCCGAGAGAGCGCAAGGGGCGTCTTCGAAGGCTCTGCATAGGGGACGACGTAAGAGCTGGGGACACTGCCGCCTGCAGGTTGTGTCCGCGCCAAGTCCGACCTGACCAGTGGACCGTCGCCGCACCACTCTGGCAAGAAGCTCTGATGGCGGTGCCTGCCCTGAAGGACCCCGGTCAGGTAAGTGCAGTGAGTTCCCGGTTCTCCGCTGCCCGTTTCCCCACCAGAATGTGAACTCCCCAGGTGAGCAGGTTCCCGCTCATGTTGTTTGTGGCCTTAAAAAAAGTACAACTCAGAAGTTGAGTTATGTTTTATTCCGTGGGGATTTTTAGAATTTCCAGCCCAAGAAATATCTCAAGGAACCCTGGGAGGTGAAGGGAGAAGCTGTTGCAGGAAGGGGGACTCCCTCCAGGGCCTGAAAGTGGGCTCTGTCTAACACTGGGAAGTGAATTGTTCGAGGAGACACTTGTGCTGGCAAAGCAAGAGATTTTATTGGGAAGGGACTCTGGGTCAGAGAGCAGTAGGGTAAGGGAACCCAGGAGAACTGCTCTGCCATGTGCATTGCAGTCTGGAGTTTTATGGTGAGGGGATTAGCTTTGGTTGTCTTTATCCAATCATTCTGACTCAGAGTCCTTCCTGGTGGTGCAGACCTTGCTCAGCCAAGATGGATGCCAGTGAGGAGGATTCTGGGAGGTGGTTGGACACCTGGTGTCACTTTTTTACATTTCCTGAACTCTCCCTGTTGGTGGTGGCTTATTGGTTCCAGTGTTCCTTACCAGGACCTCCTGTTGTAAAACAGCTCATGCAAATAGTTACTATGGTACCTGGCCAGGGCAGGTGGTTTCAGTGTTCTTCCCCTAACAAAGCCAGCTTATATATAAGTTTTGCAACAAAGGGAAGGTGTTTGAACATCAAAAGATTATTGTTAAGGAAAGTCAGATAACCCAGGTTAAGGAATTAAGCACTTTTCTGTGTATGGAAAGATGTGAGAGTCTGGGCTCACTGAAATCATTTCTGTCTTGGCAATCTGAGCTCTAGTTGAAAAAGAATTTCCAGACACAAAGCATTTTTGACTAGAGCGAATTTATTGAGAACAAAGGGGAGAGGTAGAGAGGGGCGCTGCAAAGACAGAGGGCGGACTTCCTAACTGACCAGGGAGAGCCGCCAGGAGACTGTCAGAACAGCGGGTGGCTCAAGGGCTTGCAGACTGTTTATAACCTCAATGAAAAGAAAATTCCTGTGGAGAGGGGTATGTTAGGTCATTAGTCAGGATTCTGTATGTTATGTCATATGGAGGCTGGAGCTGGCTAGTTAGGAACAGAACAGCTCAGAACAAACATGACAATGGTTGCCCTCGAGCTTCGCTAATTTTGGAGATATTGTCTTATCATCTCAGTATAGGGCTCCACAACTCCTTTGATATGCACCTCGGCTACCTGGGGCGAGTATCCTGTGTTTTCCTATCCTGAATTTCTCAGGACTCAGCATAAGAGTGATTAGTCTGCTGGCTGTTAAATGGCAGGTATTCTCCTTCCTGAATTCCCTTAGGGCTCACTGACTCACACTAGAGGGCTGCAATCGCTGATCACTGTGACATCTTTTTTGTTTACCGATATGGCAGGAAATGTCCCGTTTTTCACACTTTATCTCATGCGCCTGGCCCAGTGCAGTGAGGCCTTCAGGGGTGGTGTCCCTCTTTCTGACCACAGGTGTAATGTGGTGTGGGTGAGGCTTGGAGATGCAACTGAACCAGGAACATTGGGGAACCTTGAGTCCATCCTGTTTCTTCAAAAAACAAAGTTCGAGGCCAGGCTGCACCTGGAGTGGCAGATGGGAGGTTGTACCTTTCTTCTTAGGGTGCTGGGAGTACTGGAGAGTTTTGAGTAAAGGAAGCACATGATCTCTGGGCTTTTAAAAGTTCTCCAAGGCCTGTTCAGTGGAAGAAAAGTCTGTAGCTGTTGATGAGGACTTGAGCAATGGAAAGTGAGACTTCTCAAAGCTCACAGCTGATAAAAGGTAGTACTGAGGATGGAGTCACACAGGAGATGTTAGCCAGTCAGCCTGAGGTTATCTGGCTATGGTACCAGGCAGCTGCCCTGGCAAGTCTTGAGCCTCTGGAGCACTGCCCTGGTCACTTTCCTCTGTGGTCTGCATGTTCCCACAGATTCCCACAGCTGCAGAAGAACATTTAGTAAATGGAGGTTGTCCCAGTCCCTTACTTGTTCACACTCTCACGCACACATTTTCTATATTTGAGGAGGGTCTTGGGGCTCTTAACCTGCCATTCTCCCAACACTTCGGTTTGGGGACCTTGGCAACCCTGTGCCTGAGGTAGTGAGTGCACACTGGTTCTTGGAGGAAGTATGGAACAGTGAAACCCATACTAGTATATCAAAGTGCTTTGAGGTGAGGCTAAGCTGGTTAAGGTAAGTGTGGGTCTTTTTTTTCTGGTGGAAATAAACAACAGGGAAGAGCAGAATTTCAACTTGAAATTAAATGCCTGTGTATTCCAGAGGCAACAGGAAGTTCAGATCAGGGGAGGGAGTTTTTCTTTCCCAGGTGTCAGGAGAATCCATCAGGTTGGACAGTAGGGGAGATGTGTGAGAAGATGGAAGGTGTGAGACTGTTCATGATTTTTATTTGTCTCTATTATACCAGAGCCGTGTGACCTTTGAGGATGTAGCCGTGTACTTCTCCCAGGAAGAATGGTGTCTTCTTGATGAGGCTCAGATACAACTGTACCTTGATGTCATGTTGGAGAACTTTGCACTTGTATGCATACTGGGTAAGGCGTGCACTCCCTCTATCCTCTTGAGCTAGGCTCTGCCTTTCTTCTTTTCCCCAGGGACAGCTCTTGTCTTTCTTACATGTGGACCATGGTCACCATGTATCTGACATTTATTTGTGCCTGTCTGTACAGAAGAGTGTTATCACTGACATGGGCACTGCTAAACAGATGGTGAGCTATTCTTCCCACAACCTTTTCCAAGGTTCCAGTTTCCCTACATACATGCCTGCAGCTTTATTTTCTGTCTTTTGATGATTACCATCTAATGGATGTGTAGTGGTATATCTTTATCATTTCCATTATGGTCTGCTTATTGGCCATCTGTATATCTTTTTGTTGTTGTTGTTGTTGTTCAAACCACATTAACTTCTGGGATCTTAGTTCTCCGACCAGGGATTGAACCTGGGCCTATGATTGTGAATGTGTAGAGTCTCAACCACTCTAATGTCAGGGAATTCCTGTGTATATCTTTTAAAAATATCTATTCAGGTCCCTTTCCCATTTTTTTTCATCAGATTGGTTTTTTAGGTGTTGAGTTCTAGACTTCCTCCATATATTCTAGATATAAATTCCTTGTTGTACTCTGTGGTTGCCTTTTTACTATGATTATAGTTCCCTGTGATGTACAATACGTCAGGTTTTTCCTTTTTCCCTATACCTTTCTTGAGGTATAACTGACAGATGACATTAAGTAAAGGTATGAAACCAACAAAAAAAAAGTGTTCATTTTTTTGAGGTCCAGTATCTCGTTTATTATTTTGTTGCTTGTGCTTTTGTTGTCATAGACAAGAAATCATGCCCAAATTCAACATTTTGAAGCTTTTGCCCTTTGTACATATCTTGGTAGATTTATAACTAAGTATCACTTTCTTTCTCTCTTTTTTAGTACTAATGTACATGGTATTGAGTTTTTAGCCTCAAATTTCAGTTTTTTGTGGGGCTGGTATGTAGGTCATTGATTGGTTTTTATAGTGTAACTTTGTATCCTGAAAACTTTGTTGTTCTTTAGTGAAAGCAGGCTTATTTAGAGAGATACACACAGAATGTGGGCCATCTCAGAAGGGGAGAATGGCCTGTAATTACTTCTTAGTTCTAGGATATTTTTGGCAGGATGTCTATATTGGGGGTTTTTGATGTACCTGATCATGTCATCTGAGAGTGAAGACAATTTTCCTTCCTTCCCAATCAGTACACCTTTTCCTAATTAAACTAAAAAGCTTCTAAACAGCAAAAGAAACTATCAACAAAATCAAAGGATAACCTACCTAATGGGAGAAAATATTTGCAAGCCATATATTTAAAGGGTAAATATTCCAAAGTACAAGAACTTATATAACTTGATACCAATCAATATACCTTTTTTATAAACTTCTCGTCTCATTGTGTTAGTTGCCTTCCAATAAAAATTTGAAAAGGAGTGGTGTGAGAGAACACCCTTCCTTCTTATTCATCCTAGTGGGAAAGCTAGTTTTTCTCTAATAAGCATAATGATAGCTAGAGGGTTTTATTGAGGTTATCAATTTGACGTTTTTCCTCTAAGTTTACTAGTAGATGTATTTTTTTAATATATCATAAATGCAGGTTGGATTTTGTAAAGTCCTTTTTCTGCATCAATTGATGAGATTGTGTTTTTAAGTATTGATAGGTATTATGTTAACTAACTTTCAAATGTTAAACCAGTTTCACTTGCTCAGTTGATCATGGTATATAATTCTTTTTATACAGTGTTTTAATCGATTTTTAAAAGTTGTTAAACTTTTTGTGTGTATGTTCATGAGAGATATTATTCTATAGTTTTCTTTTAATGTTTTTGGTTTGGTATTAAAGTAATACTAGCCTCACAGAATGAGTTGGGAGGTATCCCTTTGTTTCTATCTTCTGAAAGAGATTGTAGATAATTGTATAATACATTCTCTCATTACATGTTTGGAAGAATTCAGCAGTGAAACACTCTGAGCCAGTTAGATTCTTTTTTGGGAGGTTATTAATTATTGATTCATTTTTTCTTTTTGGCCACAATGCATAGTATGGAGGATCTTAGGCCCTGACCAGGAATTGAATGTATGCCCCATGCAGTGGAAGCACAGAGCTTAACCATTGGAACCCCAGTGAGCCCCCTTGATTCATTTTCTTTCTTTTTTTTTTTTTTTGACTCATTTTCTTTAATTGACACGGACCTATTCAGATTATCTATTGTGTGGGTTTTGGTAGACTGTCTTTCAGGGAATTGATCTTGCATCTAGGTGATCAAATTCATGAGGTTAGAGATTGCTCATATTTTTCATTATTATTCTTTTACTCTCCATGGTATCTACAGTTGTTTTATTTTGAAGTTTTTATGTTATTAATTTGTGTTCTCTGTTTTTATCTTCATGAGCCTGACTAGACTGCTGTGAACATATGAGTCTATCTCTTTTTGAATTATAATTTTTGGCTGGATATATGCCCAGGAATTAGATTGATGGATCATAATGGCAACATTACTTTTAACTTTTTGAGAAACATCTATACTGTTTTTCATAATGGCTACACCAACAGCATTTGTTATTTGTAGACTTTTGTTTTTAATATGTGTGTATGTAAGTATTTATTTGGCTTTTCTGGGTCTTAATTGGGATACCTGGGAGCTTTTAGGTGTTACATGCAAACTCTTATCTGGAGCTTGTGGAATCTTAATTCCTTGACCAGGGATGGAATCTGGGCCCCCTGCATTGGGAGCATGAAGGTTTCTTTTTTTCTTTTTTCTTTTTTTGGTAAGCAAGGGAGCATGGAGTCTTAGCCATTGGACCACCAGGGAAGCCCCTGTAGACTTCTTAATAAATGGCCATTTCTGCCTGGTGTGAGGTGGTACCTCATTGTAGTTTTGATTTGCATTTCTTTCTTTCGTTTTTCTCTCTGCTTTTCAGTTTTGGAAATTTCTACAAAGAGAACATCAAGCACAGAGATTCTTTCCTCAGCTGTGTCCAGTGTATCAATAAGCCCATCATATTCATTCTTCATGTCTTTTATAGTCTTTTGACTTCTAGAATTTTGAGTTCTTTCTTTGCATTTCCATTTCTCAAATGTCCAACTCTTTGTGACCCTGTGGACTGCAACATGCGGCCAGACTTCCTGTCCATCACAAACTCCCAACTCTACCAAACATTAATCAGCATATATATCATACTTGTTTTGTATTTCCAGTCTGGTAATTACAACATCCTTGTGATAGCTGATTCTGGTTTTGAAGTTTCCTTTGTTCATATTGCTTTTCGCCATTTAGTATGCTGTGTAATTTTTTCTTGATAACTGGCATGATGTATGGGGTAAAAGGAACCGCTATAAATAGGCCTTTATTCATGTGTTGGTAAGATGTGGAGAAGGGAAGCCTGCACAGTACTGGAAGCATTCATAGCATGTTTACTTATCAGTCTTTTAATGAGCTTGTGTGTCTGGACTATGAACTTCACAAGTTACTTTCAATTTATTTTCCTTCCATTGGGTGGGACAGCAATGTGTAGAGAGGGCTGGAATTGAGCACTTGTTTTTCTTATCAGTTGGGCTTCCCTGGTGACTCAGAGGTTAAAGTGTCTGCCTCCAATGTAGGAGACCCGGGTTTGAAACCTGGGTCAGGAAGATCCCCTGGAGAAGGAAATGGCAACCCACTCCAGTATTCTTGCCTGGAGAATCCCATGGATGGAGGAGCCTGTCTGGCTACAGTCCACGGGGTCACAAAGAGTCGGACACGACTGAGCGACTTCACTTTCTTTCACTTTCTTTTCTTGTCAATTAACCTTAAGAAGAACAGAATGGGGAATTCCCTGGTGGTCCAGTGGCTAAGACTCTGCGCTCCTGATACAGGGGGGCTGGGTTCGATCCCTGGTTAGGGAACTAGATCCCACATGCCACAACTAAGACTCTATGTAGCCAAATAAATAAAAATAAATGTTTTTAAAAAAAAAAAAAAGAAGAAGAACAGAATGTTCTGGCTATTTTATTTGTCTGATCTTTATCATTTCCTTTTTCAGAATGCTTTGTCTATTTAATTTGTTTTTTTTTCTGGTAGTTTATCAAGTTGTCAAGATAGATTATGATTTTTTAAATATATGTATATTTTCTTTTATTTGTATTAGTTGGAGGCTAATTACTTTATAATATTGTAGTGGTTTTTGCCATACATTGACATGAATCAGCCATGGATTTACATGTGTTCCCCATCGTGATCCCCCCTCCCACCTGATATTTCTTTTTTTATAAGCATTTTTTGCTGTAAATGTTCTCCTTAGTACTGCCTTTGCTGCATCCTGTAGTTTTAGCATGTGGTGTTTTGTTTTCATTAGTCTATTAAATATTCTCTGATTTCCCTTGTGATTATTTTCTTGAACCTATTTATTTCCAGAAATTTGTAGATATTTCAGTTTTCCATGTTATGTTATGGATCTTCATTCTGTTGTGGTTAGAGAGGCTAGTTGGTATAAACTTTATGTAATTAAATCTATTGTTCCTATCCATTACTGAGAATAGAGTATTGAAGTTTCCAAATAGTAGTGTAGAACTGTCTGTTTCTCCTTTTGATTGTTAGTTTTTGCTTCATGTATTTCAGTGATCTGCTATTGAGCGTGTGAATATTTATACTTATTGCTTCATGTTACATTGAATCTTCTCAAAATAAATGTCCTTCATAGTCTTTTTAGATTTAAAATCTTTATTGTTTGGTATGATTTATAGCTACTCCTGTGTGCTTTTTGTTACTATTTGCATGAAATATCTTTATCTACATTTCAGTTTCAACTTGTGTTTTGTCAACAGCATACAGTTGTTGTTGTTGTTGTCTTGGATTGTGCCACTCAGCCTGTGAATTCTTCCTTCTGTAGCTAGGGGTTGAACCCATGCTCTCAGCAGTGAAAGTGCAGAATCCTAACTACTGGACTGCCAGGGAGTTTGCTAGATCGTTTTTTTAAATCTGTTTCTGCCAGTCTGTGTTTTGCTCTGAGAGGTTAATCTGTTTACTTTAAAGAGGTTATTGATGAGAGGTTTTTTTTTTCGTCTTGCTCTTTGTTTTCTATATACCCCTTGAAGCTTTGTCAGTCCTTACTTTTTGTTATTTTCTCCTTTTGTATTTAGTTGATTTTTTTTTGTAGTGAAGTATCTTAATTCCCTTTTCATTTCCTTTGTGTACATTATAAAACTTTTTTTTTTGCTCTTTACCATGGGGATTACATTTAATATCCTAAAGCTAGAGCCTATTAATTTTAATTTATACCAGCTTACCATCAATAACATTAAAAAAATTCTGGGAATTCCCTGGTGGTCCGGTGGTTAGGACTCTGCAGTCTCACTGCCATGGGCCTGGGTTCAATCCATGGTCTGGAACTAAAATACTGAGAGCCGTGCTGGCAGGCCAAAAAAAAATTTTTTTCTGCTTCTATACAGCTTTGTCTATACCATTTTACTCGTTAGTGTCTTTTCAGTTCAACTTGAAGGACCCCCTTTAGCATTTCTTGAACTTCCTCATCTTTTGTTTACCTGGGAATATGCTAATTTCTCCTTCATTTTTGAAGGAATCTTGGTTGGCAGGTTTTTGTCACTTCAGCCATCTCTGAACGTATCAGCCCACTGTCTTCTGGCCTTCCCAGGTTTCCCATGAGAAATCTGCTAATGATATTGTTTGGGACCCTTTGTCTGTGATGAGTCACTTCTCTCACTGATTTCAAGATTCTCTGAGTTTCAGCAGTTTGATTATAATGTGCCACAATGTGGGTCTTTTCATTTATTCTGCACAGACAATAAATGAATAATAAAAAAAAATCATAAAAGACAGCCACTTCTTTGTATGCCTTGTGAGTTTTTGTTGTTGAAAACTGAACATTGGCATTTTATGATTGTAAGTCTGGAGATACTGTGCTTGCTATTAACCAGGGTTTGCTGGGTGGGGGGTTCTCCTTGTTTTTGGTGTTTTTAGGGTGTCTCTTTCCTGTATATTGACATGAGATGTGAACTGACAGGCCTCTCAGTGTGCTTTTCCTTGGGGGTGCACCATGACTTAAATTTCCACAATATAAGTGGTTGACTTTTTATTTTATTTATTTATTTATTTATTTAATTTTTTCCATTTATTTTTATTAGTTGGAGGCTAATTACTTTACATCATTGCAGTGGTTTTTGTCATACATTGAAATGAATTAGCCATGGATTTACATGTATTCCCCATCCCGGTCCCCCCTCCCACCTCCCTCTCCACCCGATCCCTCTGGGTCTTCCCAGTGCACCAAGTCCGAGCACTTGTCTCATGCACCCAACCTGGGCTGGTGATGTGTTTCACCCTAGATAGTATACATGTTTCGATGCTGTTCTCTTGAAACATCCCACCCTCGCCTCCTCCCACAGAGTCCACAAGTCTGTTCTATACATCTGAGTCTCTTTTTCTGTTTTGCATATAGGGTTATTGTTACCAGCTTTCTAAATTCCATATATATGTGTTAGTATACTGTAATGGTCTTTATCTTTCTGGCTTACTTCGCTCTGTATAATGGGCTCCAGTTTCATCCATCTCATTAGAACTGATTCAAATGACTTCTTTTTAATGGCTGAGTAATATTCCATGGTGTATATGTACCACAGCTTCCTCATCCATTCATCTGCTGATGGGCATCTAGGTTGCTTCCATGTCCTGGCTATTATAAACAGTGCTTCGATGAACATTGGGGTGCATGTGTCTCTTTCAGATCTGGTTTCCTCGGTGTGTATGCCCAGAAGTGGGATTGCTGGGTCATATGGCAGTTCTATTTCCAGCTTTTTAAGAAATCTCCACACTGTTTTCCATAGTGAAGTGGTTGTCTTTTATGATTTTTTTTTTATTATTATTCATTTATTGTCTGTGCCAGGTCTTCATTGATACATAGGCTTTTCTCTAGTTGTTGTGAGCAGGGGCTGCGCTCTAGTAGTGCATGGGCTTCTCATTGCTGTGGTTTCTCGTTGCAGAGCATGGGCTCAAGGGTGTGTGGCCTTCAGTAATTGCGGCATGTAGGCTCAGTAGTTGTGGCTCCCAGGCTCTAGAGAACAGGCTCAGTAGTTGTGGCACATGCACATAGTTGCTCCACAGCATGTGGGATCTCCCCAGGCAGGAGATTGAACCTGTGTCTCCTGCATTGACAGGCGGATTCTTCATCACTGAGCTACCAGGGAAGCCCAGTGTTTGCTCTTGATTGCCTTAGTCCTCAAATGTGTCACTCTCAAAAGGGAAAAAACAGAAAAATGAAGAGGAGGTGGTGAGACACTGGCTCTTAAAATCTTCAGTTAGAGGGAGAGGAGATTTATGTATCGGTGTTACCATTTACAGCAATGAGTGTCCACCTCTGTATTACTCACATGCATTCAGGAGCAGCAGCCAGCAGTCAGACTATATTAGATCACTGACATCTGGAGGACTAACTAGGTCCTTCCTTATTTTCCACGCTGGCTCATAAAAAGCATGTACAGTCTGCTCTAGAAACATGTACACAGTAGCCTGCCATGGGACTTTGGGTTGGGGAATGGGCAGCTCCAGAGCCTTAGAACTGAACTTGACTGAAATAAATTTAACTTGGGAAACTGCAGATCTTCAATAGATTCGAGTTCCGAGAGCTACATTTATTGGATTCTGTCAGCACAGTTATTGTTAAGGCAAGGAGATGGAATCTTAACATTTTGTATTTCATCTGCTGCACATCCTTTCATCTGGTTCCATCAGAGCTTCTTTTTGCAGTATTTAAATATTGTCCCTTTTTGTGTGCTGAGTTCTTCTGGGCTGGTGTTGGCCACTCTCCTGACCTGCTGTTCTATTAAGAGTTGTATCATTTGCCTTCCATGTAGTTGTTGAACTGAGAGTGGACAGTCCTTCATGCTTCAAAGGATGGACATGACTCTGGTCTCAGCACAAAGCACTTGCAGTTAGCCTGGCCAAGTTGAATGACAGCTGGTAGAGCTTAATGTCTGGTCTGTGTTCAAGTCATTCCAGGAACCTATCCTGTTTGACTAGTGCTTTTAGTGTGATTACCAGTGGCCGCAAGTCATTTCTATAGTCTTCTCTCCATTCTTGACACTACCAACTTGCAATTTCTTCTAATTCTCATTATTTATTTATCCATTTATTTTATTTTTGGCTGGATCCTCTTTGCTTTGCAAGCGCTTTCTATAGTTGTGGCAAGTGGGGGCTACTCTTTGTTGTGGTACGCGGGCTTCTCATTGTGGTAGCTTCTTTCATTGCAGAGCATGGGCTCTAGGCCTGCAAGTTTCAGTAGTTGTAGCACACAGGCTCAGTAGCTGTGCATGGTATTAGCTGCTCTACAGCATGTGGAATCGTTGCAGACCCAGCCTCAAATCCATGTCCCCTCCATTGGCAGGTGGATTCTTACCACTGTGCCACAAGGGAAGTCCTACTTGTCATTTTCATTCTGACTCCAGCCTGGGATTATTTCCCTACGACCTCTCTAAACTGTTTATTTCATTGGTCTTCACAGTGTTTTCTCCAGAGTATTTTTCTGACACTGTTTATGTCCTGAAACAAGGGACTATCCCTTAATATTCCTTAAACACCAGGTACCTGTTCCAGTTAGATTTTCTGAGGCCTGGACGTACAGTTCTGCAGAGAAAAGGTCACCAGCTGTTGTGGTCTAGGCAGAAGCTATTGATAAGAGTGAACTATAGAAAAGGCCTTTCACCCTTTCTCCATACCCAGTCCTTGCATCCTATGTTTGCTGAGACCTCATCTATTCTGTGACCTTAAAGCCCTGTAACACAGACCAGCTGCTTCCTCAGTCTGACCCTAACTCCATTTCCTGAACACAGTCTTGTGGACTCATTCTTTCAAGTGTCAGATGTACAGTTGTGACGGTGTCATTTCCCTATACTAAACTCAATATGGACTTCACTATTGTTTTCAGGTTCTTGGCCTGGAGCTGGGGATGAAGAGACACCTTTTGAACAGAGCAAATCTGTAGGAGTGTCACAGATTGGGACTCCCAGGGCAGATTCGTCTGCTGAGAAGGTCCAGCCCTGTAAGATATGCATCCTGGTCTTGAGAAACATTTTGCACTTGACTGAAGAGCAGGGAACAAATAGTGGACAGAAAGCATACTCATGTGGGACACATGGAAAACAGTTCTGTTTCACTGCAGACATTCAGCAGCACCAGAAGCAGCACACAAGAGAGAATCTTTTACAATATATTAAGGGGAAACTGTCAGTTTTGAAGAGCTGCACAATCCATGCATCAGGAAGTCTCTCCCCATACAGTGAGATTGGGAAGGAATTCGTGGCCAACATGGGAGTTCACCCACAGACCAAAACCACCAGGAATCAAAACAACAGTAAGGCGTGTGAAGCTGTTTTTCACAGTGGAAAAAGTCATCAGAGCCGGGGAGAAAGCAAGAAAGCCTCCAGCCGCACAGACATACTTGTTCAAGATGAGAGAATCCTCACTAGTGAACGGTCTTGTGAGTTCACAGGCGGCACTCACAAAAGTAACCATGTTCAGCACCAGAAAGGTCACATTAGACAAAGGTCTTCTGAGTGCACTGAATGTGGGAAATCCTTTGGCCAAAGAAAGTATCTCAGGATTCATAGGCGAATCCACACTGGAGAAAGGCCTTATCAGTGCAAGGAATGTGATAAATCTTTTACCTATAAGAACCGTTTCATTGGACATCAGAGAATTCATACTGGAGAAAGGCCATATGAATGCACTCAATGTGGAAAATGTTTTACCCATCAATCCTCTTTCTATGTACATCAGAGAATTCACACTGGAGAAAGGCCTTATAAGTGCAATGAATGTGGGAAGTCTTTTATCAACAACTCCAATTTCCACAGACATCAGAGAATTCACAAAGGAGAAAGGCCTTACACATGCAATGTATGTGGGAAATCTTTTATAACTCTGGCTGGCATCCGGTACCATCAGAAAGTTCACAACGGGGAAGTGCTGTATAAGGGCAGTGACTCGGGGACATCCTTTAATCAAATGCACCAACTCAGTTCCAGTAGGAAAATCCACACTGGAGAAAAGCCTTATGAGTGCAGTGAATGTGGGAAATCTTTTACTGCTAGCTCTAGCCTTTGGTATCATCAGAGAATTCACAGTGGAGAAAGGCCTCATGAGTGCAGTGAATGTGGGAAATCTTTCATTGTTAGGTTGAGCCTTCGCAATCATCAGAGAGTTCACACTGAAGAAAAGCCTTATAAGTGCAATGAGTGTGGAAAATGTTTTACTAGCAGTTCGAGCCTTCTTCGTCATCAGAGAGTTCACAATGGAAAAAGGCCTTATGAGTGCAGTGAATGTGGGAAATCTTTTACTGCTAGCTATGGCCTTCGGTATCATCAGAGAGTTCACAGTGGAGAAAAACCTTATGAGTGTAGTGAATGTGGGAAATCTTTTACTGCTAGCTCTAGCCTTCGGTATCACCAGAGAGTTCACAGTGGAGAAAAACCTTATGAGTGCAGTAAATGTGGGAAATCTTTTACTGCTAGCTATGGCCTTCGGTATCATCAGAGAGTTCACCATTGAGAAAAACCTTATAAGTTCAGTGAATGTGGGAAATCTACTGCTAGCTCTGGCCTTCAGTATCATCAGAGTTCACAGTGGAGAAAGGACTTATGAGTGCAGTGAATGCAGGAAATCTTTTATTAATAAGTCCAGTCTTTTTGATCATCAGAGAATTCACACTGGAGAAGGGCCTTTTGAGTGCAGTGAATATGGGAAATCTTAATAGTGGATCAGGTCTATTTGGTTATCAGAGAGTTCACACTGGAGAAGGGGACTTATGAATGCAGCTAATGAGGACAGCACTAGCTTTGGAGTTGGGGGTGGGTAACAGCATGGGAGGCCGCAAGTGCAGTCATCAGGCAGCAAATGGACTATTTCTAGGGAGGAATTTGAGGCACAGAGAGGCTGTGTTTTCTAATTATTACCTCCCAGCAATGGACGGATATTCAGGATTCAGTGTCAGGTTGCCTATTTTCAGGACAAGAGGAGTCTGGTCACTGTAATCTTCTTTCCCTTCCAACCCAGCTTTGGGAACTCAAAGAAGACCTAATCCATCCTCTGTCCCTGCCCCCTCCTCAAGAGTCCTGCTCATACACTGTGCTCCATGCTCAGTGGTCATGACTGTCCACTGAAAAGCAACATTCATGGCTTTCCTGTGACTGTCCACTGAAAAGCAACATTCATGGCTTTCCTGTGAATGAATGATCCCATTATCTACCTAGTAATGCTCTGTTCCCAGCACCTCCGTCCCACAGCATTGCACTGGGTTTAGCACAGCCAGGAGTGAAGAAGAGACTTGTGTGATACTGTATGATATCTCATGTGCAATTTTAAAACAATACAAAATAATACACATGCAAAACAGAAACAAACTCAGGTTTAGGGGCTTCACTGGTGGCTCACTGATAAAGAACCTGCCTGCCAATACAGGAGATGTGGGTTCAGTCCTGGGTCAGGATGATCCTCTGGAGAGGAAATGGCAACCCACTCCAGTATCCTTGCCTGGAGAATCCCGTGGACAGGGAAGCCTGGCAGGCTACAGTCCATGGGGTCTCAAAAAGTTAGACATGACTTAGCAACTACACAGATATAGAAAACAAACTAATGGTTATCAAAGGAGAGACAGAAGTGTGATATGACAAATGATGTGTATGGGATTAAGAGATTAAAAACTCCTATTTATAAAACAGCAACAAGTTTATATTGTATCAGATAAAGAATTATAGCCATTATTGTATAATAACATTTGGTGGAGTATAATCTGTAAAATACTGAATCACTGTGCTGTACAACTGAAACTAGTATAATATTATAAATCTTCTGCAATTAAAAATAAAAAAATTAAAAAATTAAAAAAAATTTAAAAATAAACAGGTGAATTTTCCAGAGAGAATTGTTAACATTGTATTTTCTGGATGGTACAAACCACCAGACATTTAATAAAGGGAGTTTCTATGAAAGTGATTTGTATTGTTTATGAGATGATCAGTCAGGTGTGGCTACAAGAAAAAAACAACTGGAAAACATTGATGCTCACAGATCCTGGAAACACATGGGAAAGTTATCAGGGTAGTCATGAGACATAAGGCAGGAGTGGGAAGTGTTCAGACCACTGTCTGCTAAGGTTCTATGGGAAGGGCCTGGCAGAGTGGGGTAAACACCTTAGGATTGCTTGCTTTGAATAACTTTGGACTTCATGCTATAGGAGTGGCCTCTAGTTGCCTGGTGCCTGGTGCTGTGATGATGAAGGAAGAGAAACATTGCCTCCAGGGGTGTTCAGCCATGTGGAGGATGTGTGGCCCTTGATTGTTAAGTTTGTTTTCACACAGAAGCCGGACAAATTTGAGTATCGCATGAGGAGCTAGTATATTTTGCTATGAGAAAGAAATAGTCACTTGGCTGCTTAACCACATGTGCCATGTCACTTTGGCCATGACCTCTCTGGCTACTGATATGGGCATGGGGACTAAAAATAAAAATGCCAGTCAGGGCTTGCAGCTATTATGAGTCAGTGGCCTACCTGAGATGAATTTCCTTCATTTCATAAACATTCCTGAATGGGAGGTGTCTGGTGGGGGAGCAAAGTGGATCCTGTCCCTGTGGTGTAAACAAGCACATGGTAACAAATTGTATCTCCCAGTTTGATGTTTCTTTCCATTTTCCCAGGGCACCCTACTAGATAATGAAGCCTAATTAGGTTAATTAATTCACTCTTAGCAATAGAAGGCAGGAGTATACTCCTTAACCATTTTACCCCAGGATGTAGCAGAAAAGAATAAAAATTAATAAAAAAAAATGAGTAATTGATCCAAATGCCAAAATGAGAGAAAACTTACAGATGTTTAACAAGAGTAGGAAAAGCATTTGTCTCTGGTGCAGAAGGCAAAGAACTTAGAGAAACAAGTATCACTGCTGATAAGCACAGAGGAGCGGGAAGCTGGGAAACGTGAAGGAAGCTAGTAGCACAGTGTCCATCAGTCACTCGCATGGATTTAGAATCATAGCAACAGAAAGTCGAAATGGAAGAGAGTAGAAACAGTCGAGAAAGCTCACCAGGATCAGGATGGCATGTGTGGCTCTGGCATCATGGGAAGGTCTGGGGAAATTCTGTTGCTGTCAGTGTGTTGGACCTGCTGCTTGTCTTTGAAGGACAGAGGTCATGTACCCTCTAGTCCAGATCATGACGCCCAAACAGTAGCATCCAGTTAAGAAAAGCCAAATACATCTGCATCTAACATCTGACAGAGTATCTGTCAGACATGACACGAACTGTATCCAAATTTTTCTGAATGGAGCCCTCCAGAAAGCTCCATCACATGTATACATGTACTGGTGGCATTACTGTAAATGGTCCGATCTCCCATTGTTAACTTGTTGTTCAGTGACCAAGTCATTTCCCACTCTTTGCCACCCTATGCCAGCTTCCTCTGTCCTCCACAATCTCCCAGAGTTTGCTCAAATTCGTATTCATTGAGTTGGTGATGCTATCTAACCATCTCATCCTCTGCACCGCCCCCCCCCCATTCTCCTCTTGCCTTCAGTCTTTCCCAGAATGAGGGTCTTTTCCAGTGAGTCAGCTCTTTGCATCCGATGTCCAAAGTATTGGAGCTTCAGCTTCAGCATCAATCCTTCCAGTGAATATTCAGGGTTCATTTCCTTTAGGATTGACTGGTTTGATCTTGCAGTCCAAAGGACTCCCTCCCAAGAGTCTTCTGATTGATCCCAAGTGTATGCCCAAGTACCCAAGCATCAAGGAGAGGAGTGCTGTCCTTCAGTACTGTGACCTTTGGCAAGAGACAGGACCAAGGCCACCTCTTCCTGCAAGTGTTCCCACTCTCTGTCATGTATCAAAGCCTTGCTGTTGCACTGTTTACTGGGTGTTGTGTTGCTTTAATAACCGAGAAAATAAGGTAACTGGGTACAGAGTGTCACAGGTTCAGGTCCTGTGAAAGCCTTCCTTTATGAGAGGGTTGAGTAAGCATCCAGCAGTTGTTGCTCACATGGCATGTCGTGACATTGAAACAGACAACACTTGGTACCAGAAGACCCTGGGTAGCTTACTGCCGTCATGGGCCCAGAGACTGCAGAGCATAGTAGGTGTGTGCAGAGCTTTGACCAAGGAGTCTCCAGGAGGTAGCAAAATAAGTGCCTGTTAGGGACTTTCCTCAGGGTCCAATGGTTAAGACTCCATGTACCCAATGCAGGAAGTGCAGGTTTGATCCCTCATCGAAGGAACGAAGATCCTGCATGCTGTGTGGCACAGCCAAAAAAAAGTATCTGTTGAATGGCTGGCCATCTGAACTGACTAGGACTTTTTCTTATAAAGGCCCCAAAGTGGGATGATCTTTGAGTGACTGCATAAATAAGCCTTAGTCATCAGTGCAGAATATCTTCCCTCTAAAAGTCAGAAAGATCCAATAGGTTTGGCCCCTCTGAAACTGATGGAAGCTGACAAAATCAGAAGTTGCCCTTTAACCACATCAGCAGTAGAGTAGCCCATACAAACACTGGATGGAGCTAAGAAACTTACTGTGCTGGCATGACACTGAAATGTGTGGGGCCATAGCCCATCAGTTGTCTGTAAGCACAACGATGAATGTATGCCTTGGAAAAGTGTCTTGCAAATCCCCTCACAAGGGTATGTCATCAATGAAGCTCCATAATTGGGTGCCTGAGCACAGATGGGTCCAATAATGTTCTTGTTCAGTGAGGTTGTATGTGATACCTGAACCTTTGAGGTATCCCATGGGAAACTAAGTAAAGGTGTATTGTACTGAGTTCCTGTGTAGGTGAAGAAGAGGCTCTTGAAATAGGCATATGAAGATTGAATAGCACGTTCATTTCAATTATGAGTGAGCTATAGGGATCTCAGTGGATGGAACCAGGATATCAATAAGTCACCATGAGATGCTGTTCCTCCTAGGACACTTAATATCTATGATAGTGTCTCAGATGTAAAAATTGGTTACTTATCACTTCAAGTTAATGAACATGATTTGTATGTTAAACATATTTTTAAAAAAATTCAATCTTGGCTCTGTTGGGTCCTGTTGTGGCACACAGGATCTTCCTTGGGGCATTCAGGCTCCAGAGCACGTGTGGGCTCTAGTTTGCAGCACTATAGTTGAGGTGGGCAGGGGTGTAGTTGCGCCATGGCATGTAGGATCTTAGTTCCCCTCCCATGAATTGAACCTACATCCTCTACATTGAAGGCAGTTTCTAACCATAGGCCACCAGGAAAGTCCCAACATATCTTTTTGATACATCTTCAAAATTACTTCTGGCCTGTTTTCTCATTTAATTAATTATTACTATTTTGCAGACTAGTTATTTCCTGTTCATGTACATACATGTGAAAGTGTTACATCACTCAGTTGTGTCCAGCTCTTTGTGACCCCATGGACTATAGCCTGCCAAGCTTCTCTATCCATGGAATTCTCCAGGCAAGAATAGATATGAAGATAAATTTAACACAAACAGTTTCCAATCCACTTGTATAAATCTGGAAGGAAACATTTATGGCTGCAGATCCTTCCAGAAACATTCAGATTCACTTAATTACATACATCTTTTCTTTTACATGTATCTTTTCTCACTCCATCGATCTGACCTCCTGGTTATCAGATCAAACTCCTGTTTGATTCATTCCCATACTGCTGTTTTAGCCCCTACCAGATGCCTGCAAAAATTGGTGGTTCGGTGATTAAGACTCCATGTTCCCAAAGCAGGGGTCACAGTGTGGTCAGGAAAAAAAGTCTAACCCTGTAACTGAATAATGGGCAGCTCTTTTCCCAAAACTTTAGTGGACATGTTGTTATAGAATGTATGAAATATGGAACCTGAAATGTGACAGAAAAACAGTCCTAGTTTAATTGTACTGGATAACTACAAATTAGGGGATAAAATTTGCTTCTCTTAAATACAGATGATAATACTGAGAATGCTAGAGCATAACAAACTGTAAGTATGCTCCGTTTTCAAATTTATTGAAATTCCCAAACACAGAGCTCTAATCATTATAAATTATGATTTACTCATGAATTTTCTGTCAACAAAGAGCAAAGACACAAACTTCCAGAGCATTCACACTGAAGAGTATAGTTTTGACTCCAAAATAAACTGCCAGAAACTGCATCTCAATTTTTTTTAATTAATTAATTTTATTTGGTGGTGCTTGGTCTTAGTTGTGGCATATGGGATCTAGTTCCCTGTTCAGGGATTGAATCTGGGTCCCCTACATTGGAAGCATGGCATCCCAGCCCCTGGACCACCAGGGAAATCCCTGCATTTCAATTTTTAATTAATGTGCATTCTTTTGATCCTTTCTGAGGAAAACATCCTCAAAGTTCAGTTGTTGCCCACCCCCTCCCAAGAATTGCCTTTATTTTAAATATCTTTCTTGCTCTGTTTATTTTTTAAAGCACTGAAGTATTTAAATTAACTGAGTAAGGGCATTATAGATTATCTTTTGTTTCCAATGAAAATATTGATTTTCTGGGTAAAAGTTATGTATTAAAACATAAAAATGTACATCCTAAATACATGCATTCTGTATGTTCAGTCAGGTATACCTTATGTGTGTGTTCAGTTGTATCTAACTGTTTACAAGCCCCCGGATGGTAGCCTGCCAGGCTTCTCTGCCCATGGGATTTTTCAGGCAAGGGTACTGGAGTGGGTTGCCATTTCCTCCACCCAGGGGTTACACCTTACACAAATGTTCAGAACTTGTCACTTCATAGTAATTTTACTATGGTTTTTGGGGAGGGATGGTTAAAATATTTAAGTTGAAGGATAATTGTTTTATGGTGTTGTGTTAGATTCTGCTGTGACCAAGTTTCATTATCATTTGTTGCTACTGGATCAGTATGATTGAGTTGGAATGATGTACCTCTATCAACTTTTCCCAACTCCATGTTCAGTGACACCATGTTGTTAGTTTGAAAATGGCCATGCTAAGAATATTTGTATTCGGAAAACTGGAAAACACTACAGACCTGGACTTTGTTATATTATTGAAAGTCTAGATTTTAAAATATGTGGATAGTGCAGATTAAATTTAAACTACATGGTATATGGGGTAATTACACTGTATATAGCACACACAAAAATTGAGGATAAAAAGGAGCTATTTATTTGTTAATGAAAAGAAAAATAGGTGAAAGCTATGAACAGATATTTTACCAAGACATACAGATGGCAAATAAACCATGTGGAAAAAGAAAGATCAACATTATGATTCCTTAGGGAGATGTAATTAAAACAAGTACTTCCTTAAATTCAAAATTTAAGGAAATTCAAAAGACTGACCATACCAAGTATTGGCCAGAATGTGGAAGCATTTTACATGCTCCTGGTGGGTATGTAAAAACAATCTATAAATGTAGATCATAGTTTGTCAGTTTTACAAGTCAAACATTTACCTATTCTATGACTCAGGCTTTATACTTTGAATTACTAACACAGTATAAGTGAAAATCCATCCATACATACAGAATTACATATAAATGTTCTAGCACCTTTATTTACAATAACCCACAACAGAAATAACCCAAATGACCATAACCAGATGAATGGGTGAACAAACAATGTAACTATAGAAAAGATACTACTCAGCAATAAAGAATGAACTACTTATATATTATCACTTAAGAATCTCAAAATATTTAGATTCTGCACTTCAAATAGATACACTATATCATATGTCAAGTACACCTGAATAAAAATTTACAAAATGACTCAAAAGAAAAATCTAGGTCTCTCACACTTTTTAGGAAATCAGATCTTGAGAAATCCCTAGTGGTCCAGTGGCTAGGAATTGGCACTTTCACTGCCATGGCCCAGGGTTCAGTCATTGGTGAGGGAACTATGATCCTGGAAGCCTCAAAGAACAACCAAAACCAAAATGAAAAATCCTCAGGTCTCGAAATCCTATATTGCCTCTCTTTTCTGATGACCTTGGAGAAGCACCCTTGTCTTAGTGGCAGCAAATACTGATGAGAATAGATCTCTTCCCACCTGAGTTAACAGGAATGCTGGCTGATCACAGAGCCACAGTGTGGATGAAGGGATCTTTCTGTTTGTTTCTCTGCTTCTGTGGCAATGGCCTTTGGCTGAACATTCTAGATGTTCAGGCATCTGTGCACACTGATACTGCACAGTCACAGTCACTGGAGCATCTGCTGATGCGATGTTAGGACACAGTTCACCTACTTCACTGCAATCTCCTCCGCTCCAGGGTTACTTGATGAACATGGTTCCCTCTAGCCCTGTAGTCTTACAGTGGAACTATCTAGTGAATTCTGGGGATCAGGGCATGTGGTTCTTTCATAGGTTCTTTCATTCTTTCATAATGCTGAGCAGTGAATGATTATTCACTGTGAAAAACAATTCATGTCTCCAGAAGCACTGGAGGTTGTTACAACTTCATGGCTCCTCAGATGTTTTCTGAGCCCACAAAAAAACCTGATACACAGTCCACAAATCAGGACCCCAAAGCCTTGCAGTCTTTCTGAGGAGACCTTGAACAACAATGTATTTACATTAGGCCAAAATCACAGAGAGTTACATTCTTCAATCATACTGATGTGAGGCACACAAAGGACAGGACCCCCATGAAAGCTGTGCCATCATTAATGCTGGTAGAGCCCAATTTTCTTCCTATCACCTCATATAAAGTGAATAGAACCCCCAGACCAAAGAGGGCTGGAACATTAACGCCTTTATCATTGCAAAGTGCAAAGGAATACAAGGCATGCAGTTCTCAGCTTGGTGAATTGGAGGCTGGGAAAATCAGAGGTGTCACCAGAAACTAACATGTCCCTGAAAATACAGTCCCTGCTGGCAAGTCACCAACAGAACTGAAACTGGGTCCACTGGGCCCAAATTGAGTGAGGTCCATGCCCTACTTTCGAAATGAGAAAAGAATGAGGATGCCATAAGAGCTAAGACTACTCATTACTTCCCTCCACATAAAGGGATGGGACAGAAGTCAGCTTCCCTGAGCATGTTGGGAGGTAACTTCCACACTGTGTGAACCTGCCAGGTGATAGAAATGAAACTGGCCGTGACATAAAGCTGGAAAGGGCCTGGCAGGTAATTGAGCCACAAGGGAAGCCCCTAATAAAGTAAAGCACAGCTTCTTAAAGATTCCTACATACCTGGAACTTAAGGGGAATCTCACCAGTGTGGATTTTCAGATGCATTAGATGGCTCAGTCACAACTTCTCCAGTGTAAATATACTGGAAGGAAACTGCACATCCCAGCATATCTAAGGCCTTTCACTGGTGTGACATTTATGGGGTTGACTGAGGTCATATTTGTAGTTGAAAAGTTTTTTCCAACATTCACTGTACTCAGGACCTTTTTCCAGTGTGAACTCTCTGGTGCTGAATGAGGCTAGAACTTTGGCTAAATGATTTTCCACATTCCCCACACTCATAAGGCCTTTCTCCAGTGTGAACTCTCAGGTGTTTAACAAGGTTAGATTTACAGCTAAATGATTTCCCACATTCACTGCACTCAACAGGCCTTTCTCCAGTGTGAACCCTCCAGTGATTCTTGAGGTTGGAGCTATGGCTAAATGATTTTCCGCAGTCCCCACACTCATAAGGCCTTTCTCCTGTGTGGACTTTCCGATGTGAGCTAAAGCTAGAGCTTTGCTTAAAGGATTTTCCGCATTTACTGCACTCATAAGGCCTCTCTCCAGTATGAAGTCTTCTGTGGTGAATGAGGCTAGAGCTTCGGCTAAATGATTTTCCACATTCACTGCACTGATGAGGCCGCTCTCCAGTGTGAACTCTACGGTGGTAAATGAGGCTAAAGTTTTGGCTAAAAGATTTCCCACATTCACTGCACTCATAAGGCCTTTCTCCAGTGTGAACTCTCTGATGCTGAATGAGATTAGATCTTTGACTAAAAGACTTCCCACATTCCCTGCACTCATAAGGTTTTTCTCCTGTGTGAACTTTCCTATGGCTGTTGAGGCTATAGCTTTGGCTAAAGGATTTCCCACATTCACTGCATTCATAAGGCCTTTCTCCACTGTGAACTCTCTGGTGTATAATGAAGCTGGAGAGGTAGGTAAACAATTTTCCACATTCATGGCATTCATAAGGCCTTTCTCCAGTGTGGACTTTCTGGTGCTGAATGAGGTTACATCTTCGAGTACAGGCTTTTCCACATTTGCTGCACTCATAAAGCCCTTCTCTAGTGAGGACTCGTTGGTCCTCAACAAGTGTGTCTGTGCAGTTGAGGGCTTTGTTGCCTTCTCCCCAGTTCTTATGCCTTTTTCCATTGTAAGAGGTGGCTTCACATTCATTACTATTGTTTGGCTTCTCCTCAGTGTGAATGACATGTTGATGGAAAAATCCTACATTGACTAAGAAATCACTCCCAATCTCCCCATAGACAGTGGGTTTCCCTGACACATGGGTTGTGCAGCTCTTTATAATCAAGGCCGTGTCCACAGAACTTCTGATGGGTATCTCTCCAATGTGTTGCCCCTGGTATTGCTGAAGGTTGGCAGAGATACAGAATCGATTTCCACACATGTATGGTTTCTGCCCAAGATTTGTTTCCTGGTGCTCAGGAAAGTGCAAAATATCTCTCAAGACTGGGCCATACATCTCAAAGGGCTGGCCCTTCTGGAGAGATGAATCTGCCTTGAGAGTCCTGATTTGTGACACTCCTATACAAATGCTTTGTTCAGAAGGTGCCTCTTTATCTTCTACTCCATGCCAACAGCCTGAAATTAAAGAAGTGATGGTGAAGTGCATGTTAACCTTATTGAAAAGAGGCAAAACCATCACAAATGTAACTCAACACATCAAGGGATCAGTTCATGAAATTGCTTTCAGGAAAAGTCACCTTGAGGAAGCAACTGCTGTGCACCACTGGGTCCCTAAGGTCAGGGGATGGTGCAGGTCTCACCAGACACAGGACATGAGGAAAGGCCCAGGGGAAAGGTTTGTGCTATAACCGATTTTTCTGTCAGCGCCTTTTCTTTTTTGTGGCCATGCCACCTGGCATGTGGGATGACAGTTCCCCAAACAGGGACTGAATCAGCGCCCTCTGCAGTGCAACCATGGAGTCTTAACCACTGGACCACTGAGAAAGATCTGTCAATAGATTTTAGCAGGATTTTATCTGCTGATGACAGGTGATGCTGTGTAAAAGTCCAGTCCACTCCCAGAAAAATCCAACTGGAACAAAGGTAACAGTATTTAAGGATTATTAGATACCTGCACACTTTAGAACACTACAAAGTCTGAGTAGGGAACAGTGTGAGGAATGAGTGAGGTAAGCAGTGTAGCGAGGTGGAGAGTAGCTCTCAGCTGGAATCAGAATAGAAACGATGAGTCAGCAAAGTGTCAAGACTTGAGAAGGGAAAGGAGTGAGGTGTGGCTACTGGCAGTGGAACCAATACAGAAGTAAAACAGGATAGATTCCTGGTATGATTTCAACCAAGACCTGAAGTCATGTCCTCTGTCAACTTCTATTGATCTGGGTCAGGCCTGCTCTGAGCCCATCTTGTTGAGAATGGAGTCATGTCCATCCTGTGAAGCTCAGAGGACTTTTTCATAGCCCCACCTGAAGATCTGCATGTACCCACGAGAACTAAAATCATAAGGGAATGACAGGACAACTCAGTAGTCAAAACAGGCCCAGACAACTCAGCACACAGGAGACCACCAGAAAGCTATTTAAACATTACCAAAAAATTCCTAAGGCCATTCCTGAAGGGAAGATACACAGTAGTAAGAACTAGGAATCTGACTTTCCTTCTGGACAACTACACCAGTAAAATTAGTCTAATGCAACTCTTTTGCAATGCTCAACTGCTTTAATTTTGTCCCTTTCAGCTCTTAGCATGGTAATAGTATTCATCCTTCCACTCGCTACCTCTGAGCCCTTGGGATGGGGACCTTGTGCATGTTCCAAGAATAGCTTCTAGAGTCAGGATGGGCAATAAGGAGTCTGTCCTCAAAGTGTCAGAAATACTCCAAGACCAGAAACAAGAAAATGATGCGAGCTTCTACCACTAGTATTCATCGTAGTATTGGAAGTTCTACACTGAGCCTTAAGAAAACAGACAAAAGGCATCCACAGCTCATGAAATTGTAAAGATTGCACGACAAAACTTCTAGAATAAATGAATTAAGCAAATGAAGAGGATACAAATTAAATAACTGTGGGAATTCCCTGGTGGTCCAGTGGTCGAGACATGGGTTCATGCTGCGGTTGGGGAACTAAGATGTTGAAGGCAGCAGTGTGACCAAAAAAAAGAAACTGGTAAATGTTTTGTATACATGCCACAAGTGAAATAAAGCAAAAAGAACCCTAATTAAGGGTCTGTCAATAACATTTGTCTAAGCAGTGACTATGTAAGTGACTACACTTCCAGCACAGTCAGAAACAAATGTGCGCTATAGGAAAGGAGGGTGCTATACTAGGGTGCTATGGTGCTGAGAGTCACCCAGTGAGGCAGAGGGCAAGACATGGGGGTCCATTAGGCTGACAAAACAACAGTGATACCAAACCCTTCCCTAGGAGGCTTTGGGGCAGTAGGTGCTGTGGTGATACAGATGAGAAGGAGGCGAGCACTCAGCCCAGCCCTTGTACACACAGCAGAAATCCAGGCAACTAGGGACACACCTGCCCCTGGAGAAAAGAGATGCACAGAGCTTGGCCCAGGGCACAGGGGCAGGTGGAAGAGCTTACCCAGTGAGGATGTAAGTGCAAAGTTCTCCAGCATCACATCGTGGTACAGGCATCTCTGAGCCTCATCAAGGAGAGCCCATTCCTCCCAGGAGAAGTACACAGCCACATCCTCAAAGGTCACACTGCCCTGCCAGGATACAGACAGAAGAGACCATCAACTGCCTCACTCCTGAAGACCCACAATCCACCTCCTCGCACATCTACCCCATCTCCATCTTCCTTCTAAGAGCTCAGAAAAGATTCTGGAACTTGGTGCCATAGCTGTCTGCTCTCTCCTCACTCTCCCACTAACCACTCTGTTCACGCTGCTGTCCACTCTGCAACCAGTGGAGCCTGTAAAGACCCAGAAGAAATCACCTCCCTGATTATCAGATCAGTTATCTGATCCACACCTCCCAATGCCTCCAGAACAGATGTCCGATTTCACAGGCAGTCATTCCAGGTCTGACTGCTGCTCCCCACACCCAGTTTATTCTTGCCAGGATGGAAGGAGACCTGCAGTTCCCTGAACCAGCTTAGTCTCGCCTCCAAGCACTTCCTGTTTTTGTGACAAGCTTCCACATCTCTTTCCATTGGTGGCCTGAAATGGGAACCCTTTCATATAACACTTAGACTGGACTCAGGACTGAGCTAGGATTCTCCAAGGTCTGCACACCCAAGGTCTGGGAAAATGCCAGGTGACAAGTTTCAATAACAACCCTAATTTGGAGAAAATTAGAAGGCTTCCCTGGTGGCTCAGATAGTAAAGGATCTGCCTCAGATGCAGGAGACCTGGGTTCGATCTCCAGGTCGGGAAGATCCCCTGGAGAAGGAAATGGCACCCACTCCAGTATTCTTGCCTGGAGAAATCCATGGACAGAGGAGCCTGGCGTGCTATAGCCCATGGGGTCGCAAACACGACTGAGCAACTAACACAGGGTTGCGACTAGTGAGGGTAATCTCCACTTGCCCGATTAGATTCCAAAAGCACCTCTGCAGCCATGGACACCTGTGAGAAGTGGTAAGTCTTAGCGGGATGTGATCCTGGCAATTTTCCAGGGACTTACACCTTCCCTGCACACCTGGGGGCATCTGAACCAGGTTCCCCGAGTGTCTAACCTCTATTGACTCTCAGCAGTTGTGTGTCCCTGGAAGAAAAACCCAAACTACGTCTGCTTCAGTGTCCTCAGCATCCCTACAATTAGTTCTTTCATTGAACAGACTTTGGTGATTTTGCAAACCTAACTTACGTCACGTTTCTTTGCCTCAAAATTTTCCATGGCTCCGAATTTGCTGTATGGCTCAGGAAACTCAAACAGGGGCTCTGTATCAACCTGGAGGGGTGGGATGGGGAGGGAGGTTCAAAGGGAACCAGATATATGTATCAGTTCAATTCAGTTCAGTCGCTCCGTCGTATGACTCTTTGTGACCCCATGGACTACAGCACGCCAGGTTTCCCTGTCCATCACCAACTCCCGGAGTTTACTCAAACTCATGTCCATTGAGCCGGTGATGCCATCCAACCATCTCATCCTCTGTCGTCCCCTTCTCCTCCCGCCTCCGATCTTTCCCAGCATCAAGGTCTTTTCAAATGAGTCAGTTCTTCACATCAGGTGTATACCTATGGCTGATTCATGTTGAGGTTTGACAGAAAACAGCAAAATTCTGTAAAGCAATTATCCTCCAATTTAAAAAATTATTAAAAAAAAAATTTCCATGGCTTCAAAGGCCTCAAGAAGGCACAACTCCTCAGTCCGCCACTGCAGGTGCGACAGCATACACACACTTCCCTGCAACCATCAGATGGACCCCAGGTTTCCCGAATTCTCTCGCCTCACTCCGACAGCCACATCGCTGCGCCTGCGCATCCCTCCGCCCATCATCCACTACCAGGCGCCACCATACTGTCTGTCAAACAGAAGGCCCCACCCACCACCGCATTCTGGATACCCGGGCCTGGGCTGCGGGCACGTGAGCAGGCGCCCGGCACTCGGGGCTTTAGCGTCTGTTAGGATGAAGCCGATGAGGGCTGGACGGATCAGCGTTTACCTGAGGCGTGTCCCTCAGAGCCGCCGCCGCCATAGGACTCGGTGGGCGGAGAGGGGCCAGCCGAGCGTCCCGGAAGGACCCGGCACCAACGTCTCCAGGCCGCCCTGCAGGCAGCGATGTGCCCGACTGTAGGACCGCCTCTAGTCCCTGGGGACAAAGCGTCTTCTCGCGCCTTCTCTGTCACCTCAACCCCGATCCTTCGGACCTGGAGAACCGCTCAAAGAACCGCTATGAAAACACAGGAAGTCCCGCCTTCACCCAGTGAGCCCACCCCCCGGAAATGTCGAAATTCTGGGTGTTCATTGGGTGTTCTCCGCTGCCGCTCAACGCTTAGCTTTCTGGATAATGGAGTTCGAACAGGCACAAGCCTGCAGCCTGAGAGTTTCTGCTTGAATCTACCAGGGTCAGGCAATCCTCTAGGCTGCTCAAAATTGACCTCCCTGTTCTTCCAGGTAGGCTAGAAGCTTCGTTTCCTCTTCAAGGGGCTTAGGACAATTTCTGGGGAATTCGAAGAGCATTTAGAAAGCCTTCAAACCTATTGATCTCCGAAGTGTTTGGATAATAATTTAGATTCCATGCAGCTGTCTCTAGTGAACATGCCCTGATAGATGACAGTGATGATACACTATCATACTGTCCTTTAAATGTACTCAGACTGAGGCGTGTAATTCATTTTTGTGAACTTTAGTGAGTTTGTCTGGGACTTTAAAGGAAAAAAAATCACCTGTACCATAGGAGACAAGATAAAGGAGGCATATTGGGCAGCTCTGACAAAGATGGACGTGGTGGGATCTGGGCCTCGCCTTCCTCTTAGTCAGTGATTGTGCTGAACTCAGAAACATCGTTTTATCCATAAAACATGAAATTATTGTATCTTAAGAAACGCAAATATTTTATACATGCACGTTCTTTTTTTTTAATATACAGTTGCCAGTTTCTCATGAAATAGCACCTTTGCTATTGTTTATTAAGGAGTACTACTCCCTGTACATCTATAAAATAGAAAATTGTCAAAAAACAAAATTAACTGAATATGAGTTAAAAATCTAAATGATTTGGACTTCCCTCGTGGTGCAGTGGTCAAGAATCCGCCTCCCAGGGCCAGGGACATGGGTTCCATTGCTGGTCTGATAAGATTCCACATGCCTGGGGCAACTGAGCCCCAGTGCAGTAGCTATTGAAGACTTCCAGCCTAGGGCCTGTGCACCACAACCAAAGAAGCCGCTAGGATCAGCAGCCCTCGCCCCACAGCTAGAATGTTACACCACTCCCCACCCCACTGCTGTCCCACAGCAACTAAACTAAAGAAAGCCTAGGCACAGCAAGGAAGAATCAGTGGACCCAAAAATAAATAATTAAAATTTCTAAATGGCTTGACTGAATGATTCATGAATCTGACAGTGTCGATCAAGCAAGTTCAGAGGAGCTCCAAAGTGCCACAGAAAGAGAAAGGTTTTTTTAAGGCAGCACAAAAAACTTGTGGACATGGGAAGAGGGGAGGAGATGGTGAGATGGATGAAAGGAATAACAAGGAAACTTACATTACCATATGTAAAATAGATAGCCAAGGGGAATTTGCTGTTTGGCTAAGAAAAGACAAATGGGCTCCGCACCCGCCTAGAGGGCTGGGATGGGGAAGGAGATGGGAGGGAAGTTCAAAAGGGAGGGGATATATGTATACCTTTGACTGATTCAGGTTGAGGTTTGACAGAAAGCAACAAGATTCTGTAAAGCAATTATCCTTCAATAAAAAAATTTAAAAAAGTCATAAAAAGAAAAAAACAGTCATAAAAAGGAAAAGGAACTATTTCACATATTATCTCCCTTTGGAGAAAAGTTCTTTTTAGATCGGTTACCACATCTTCCTTTGAGGAATGGAGAGGGTCCATGCGACAGATGGTCCCATTGGTACTGACCAGAAAATTTCTTGCTAACACTTTACGATTACATTTCTGGGGAAAGTTGTAACTGCAGTTATGATACAGACCAAGTCTTGGTTTTAACACGAATGACTCTGCTTAGAGCCTGTTGTTTCTTGTTTAAGAAAGTGAAAAATCTGATTATTCTATCTTGTGGGAAAAACCAATGTTTATGCAATGGTAACTTTTTTTTTTTTTTTTTATCACAACCATAGTGTCAATGGTAACTTTTTAAAACTTCTGTCTACACATAGATGCATCTCTCTGGGTTTGCCTGTGTGTACATATGTGTGTGTGTGTGTATATATATACACACACACATACATAATATATATGTGTTACGTGTTTGTTTCTTAAAAAGTAATTTGTAATTTGGGTATAGAGTTGTTTGCTCACTTAACAAGAGTTTTTTAATTTACCATTATATCAGTAATTCTAGCAGAATAATTTGCATGGGTAATTATCTAATTTAAAAAGTTAAAAATACAAATTGATAATTGACCTAACAGAAGAAATTAGTATAGTTATAGCTGGTAAGCTAGATTAGGGAGTTTTTTTTCCCCTCGTGCAGAGAACAAGGAAGAACTTAGAGACACGAGTGCCACTGCTAATGAACACAAAGGTGCTGAAAGCAGGGAAACATGATGCTGTTAGCACAGTGGTGTCCATCAGCCACTGCTTTGGATTCACAATCAGTGTATTGCAAAGAGTCAAAATGGAAGAGAGACAATAAAGAAGACAAAGATGCTTACTAGGATCAGGATAGTACCTGCTGCTCTGGCCTCATGGGAAAATCTGGGTGAGAGTCTGTTGCTTGTGCCTGTGTAGGGTAAGGACCATGTGCCTGCTAGTCCAGCTAATGCAGCCCAAACATACAACATCAATGGAAGATAATATAACTGCATGTAAGAAGCTGATAAATTTGTCTGGTGTGAGTGAGGAACAATATCCATAATCATTTTTACACTTATTGTTTTGCTGTTTCTTGGGCCACCTACTCTAATAGGAATGCAGATGTATACCAAGAGCTGTAGTATCCAGAAAAGGAAACTACAGAAATCAGTGCACTTTGGAGACTGAATTCCGAAGTCCACCCACAAAGCAGTTCTGGGGCAAAATTTCATGGTCTGGAAGCCACTCAGAAGACAGGGAGTGCTGAGAGAAACCTGAGAGAAACCCCTCTGACCACTCTGTGAAAATAGAAGAAAAGTTTGCATCCACCATCATCAAGTAAATATTTCCATCCAAAAGCTGTTGTCGTCTGGGGGACCCCTCTGGAAAAGAGAGCCAAGTTGTTGCCTAAGGCTTGTTGGTTGACAGTCTGATCTGTGAGTCTCAACTTGTGTCCAGTCAACAAAGTGAAGTTATAAAGACAGAGGAGAGAGGAGTTCCCCAGGATCCCAGCTACAGTCTGAGTGAGGAAGATAATTTCCATATCCTGCTTGGCATGTCCTTCACTTTCACATCTGAAATATCTAGGAGATACTGATTTTAATTTGAGGTAGAAATAAATGAAGGAATCCTAGAAAGATAAATGAGCTCAAATGTGTCACTTCCTTCTGCTTGGCTGTATCTACTGCTGAACAGAGCACAAAACTCTTTTGGTAGCACGTTTTCTTACTTTAGTCACTAAGTCATGTCTGATTCTTTTGGGACCCCATGGACTGTAGCCCGCCAGGCTTCTCTGGCCATGGGATTTCCCAGGCAAGAATACTGTAGCAGGTTCCAGTTCATTCTCCAGGGGATCTTCCTGACCCAGGGATCGAACCCGAATCTCTTGTGTCTCCTGATTTGGCAGGCAGAATCTTTACCCCTGAGCCACCATGGAAGCCCTATAATAATGCCCCTATTCAAGTCAGGGTATTTTACTTTAAATGGATTTTAAAGAGTAAGTGGTTATTAATGAAGGTCTTCTGGTGGACTCCATCCAAGTGTTCATATAAGGGAGTATTTGAATAAACAATGTACCATTCACACAACATTTCTTCCTACAGCCATGAATTGAATGAAGATCATTTCATCAATGTATAAAGTCACCTTCAGTATATGTATATATATATTTGGCCACTCCATGTGGCCTTCAGGATCTTAGTTCCCCAACTAGGTATCAAACTCCTACCCCTGTACTGGAAGCACAGAGTCTTAACAACTGGACCAGAGGGAAGTCATCTTTAAAAATATATATAGTTATTCTAAACACTCAAAGATAGAAGGAACTATGAGTAGTTTCTCCTGTGCTTCCAGTACAGACCACCTCAGGGTAATCAAATTGAGGAGATGGAAATTTTTTTTTAATTAAAAATATTTTTTAATAAGTACCAAATAGAATAGTTCCTAAACTTTTCACTGAGAACCTCTTCATTACTGAAAGAATGTCTGAAACATAAGCAATTAAGTCAGGCTTTTAGTCAAGAAATCTCAAGCTGCCAATTGGCTTCTCTGGTGGCCCAGATGGTAAAGAATCCACCTGCAATGCAGGCATACAGGTTTGATTCCTGGGTTGGGAAGATCCCCTGGAGGAAGGAATGGCTACCCACTCCAGTGTTTTTGCCTGGAGTATTCCATAAACGGAGGAGCCTGGTAGGCAGCACTCCATGGGGTCACAAAGAGTCAGACTCAACTGAGCGACCACCACTCACTCATTCACTCAAAGCTGCAAATCAGAGCTTCTGATAACCAGGTTAACAACCTTGGAATTGGATAAACAGCTTTTAAAATCTTTAACTGTTCACTCTGTTAAATGGAAACAGCGACAGACTTTTATTTTCTTGGGCTCCAAAATCACTGCAGATGGTGACTGCAGCCATGAAATTAAAAGACGCTTGCTCCTTGGAAGAAAAGCGATGACTAACCTAGACACCGTATTAAAAAGCAGAGATATTACTTTGCCGACAAAGGTCCATCTAGTCAAAGCTATGGTTTTTCCACTAGTCATGTATGGATATGAGAGTTGGACTATAAACAAAACTGTGCACTGAAGAATCAGTGCTTTTGAACTGTAGTGTTGGAGAAGACTCTTGAGAGTTCCCTTGGACTGTAAGATTAAACCAGTCCATCCTAAAGGAAATCAGTCCTGAATATTCATTGGAAGAACTGATGCTGAAGCTAAAACTCCAATACTATGGCCACCTGATGTGAAGAACTGCCTCATTAGAAAAGACCCTAATGCTGGGAAAGATTGAAGGCAGGAGAATGGAATAATAGAGGATGAGATGGTTGGATTGCATCACTGACTCAATGAACATGAGTCTGAGCAAGCTCCGGGAGTTGGTGATAGACAGGGAAGCCTGGTGTGCTGCAGTCCACAGGGTTGCAAAGAGTCAGACAAAACTGAGCAACTGAACTGAAATGAGCTCAAACAACTCTTACATGATAGAAACTAAAAGCAAATGAAGAGAGATACACTGGATACTGAAAAAGGAAACTGACTTGCTAACAGTTCAATTCATTAAATACAAATTTTTTAGTACGTAAGTCAAATGGTAACATAGCTAATATTTCTTCAATAATATCAAGGTAATACTTTAAAAGTTAAAAGTTTAAATCATGTAATGAAGAAAATTAGTCCTCACAATGATAAAACAGATATCAGCCCTGACAAAATAAAAGCAACAGATTTTACTTATTAGAAATCTGTGGCTCCTTCACCGTTGTGTGAAGAGAGTCCCTGCTCGAGCTTGTAATAAAGTTCCTCACTGTTTTTGCATCGATCCGCGGCTCCTGTGGTGTTTGGTGGGATTCCGCGATCTGGGTACAACATTTTGGGGGCTCGTCCGGGATCCCCCGGACCCTCCAGGACCCGCGCTTTGGAAGACGAACGGCCGGTAAGCAGTAGCAGCAGCTGCATCTATATCTGTAAGGGGGCCCCCGCTCTGTAGCTGGACTTAAACCTAGGCAGCCGCGCCGATACGGTCTCCAGCAAGGAGCAGGAAGAGACGTCTTCCAGCTCCCACTCAGTAGTCCCGTGTATATATATATACATCTGATATACATCTGATATACTCTGCACCTTTTGTTCTCGGAATTGCGCGCTCTGTTATTTGTCTGGTGTGTCGTCTTGTTGGTTCATTGTGTGACTGACTGACACTGGGACAGACCCAGTTGTGATTTGTGACGGCCATTTTGCTTTGTTTGGCCACCATTTAGACCTGCCGCCATTTTGTTAGAACTTGATTTTCTTTCCCTGTGCCTTGAGACCAGGGCTCTCAGGAACACTTATCTAGACCATCTCTAACTCCTGAGACTGAGAGAAAAAGGAAAAAAGCCTTAAAAATGTTATTTATTTAAATTTTATATTGTAATATCTAATTCATGACCAAACTTAGAAAATGAAGCTAGATCTTGCACTGTGTCTGTCTAAATATGTTTTGGTATGTCTTTGTCTCTGGGTAATATTTTTTAGGTAAATTTATAAATGAGCTCTATTTAATTGTCTTAAAAAAAGGTAAGCGCTTACAAATCAAATAATTCTAAATTAAACAATAAATTCCAGGTTCAGGTGAACTGGGAAATATTCAGTATTAAATACCTGATATTAATGTTTGTTTGTTGACCTATCTAATACAGACATGTCTTAGAGTAATTAACATCAAGTAGAATATTTTCATTGTATCTAGGTTTAATATAAGTTAAATATTATACCTGTTACAAGTTTGTCAACAAGGAAATTACCTCGAGTGAAAAAACTTCTAAAAAATGTAAATGAGGAATGAGTTTGTATATAAACTCTAGTAAGAATAATTAATCTTTGAGAATATCTGTCTACAATAGTCTCCCCAGATTGGCGTAATTTGAATTTCTAAGGGTTGTGCTAAACTAAGTATTAGAAGTCTATTAAATAATTAGGTCATTTCCAAATTAAATAAGATTTTGAAACATTTAGTACTAAACACTGATTTCCTTTTACAGAAAAACTAAAGAGATTTGGGACTATAAATGAATAATGTTTGATGCCATCCTAAAATGTTTTAAGAAAGCAAGGGTTTTAGAAGTTATCACTGGTATTTATGCTCACCAATCTATAAAATGCTAATATAAAAGTTAGCTCTTGGTTGCTAAAGGAAAGCAGGAAGTGTGCTTTCAGTTAAAAAAAAAAAGGTATGAAAAAATACTAAAAAGAGTTATGCACAATCAGGATTTTCTAAAATTGGATTACAATTAGTTAGATAAATGGATTTTGTTAAGAATGACACGGTCATAAGAAAACTGGTTAGAGCCAGTTAGGTCCAAGATGGCGGAGCTGACTTTCACTGGACCTTGAGCCTTGGTATTTACGCCCATTGTGACATATCAACAAGCTAAATGATACACCCATCAACAGTGACTAAATCTGACCAAATGTTCTAAACGCTTTTAATTGATCTTTTGGATAAAACTTCCTAAATCGAATTCTTTTGAAGTTCCTTTGACATCTAGCTAACTTTGGGGTGTCTCAGAGGGCCCCTGAAACATCCCAAAGAGAGATATTAAACTGTGTTTATTTGGTTGGTTAAATTACATGAAAAAGATTATCAAATGGGTAATAAATCCGCTCATGTTATAATGTATGATAAAATTACTAATACAGATATCCTAGAAATTATATGGAGTTCTTAACATTTTGATATGTCTTGGTATTCTAATGAGAAACCTGATGACTTCACAAAAGTTAACAAAGGACTGAATGAACCAGCGAATATGCTTATAACTTTTATGGTTTCTATCTGAGAAATTACAGGTTTGAATCTTGTGTTTTCCGGGAGTAGGGAAAACCTTCCTCTCAAACTAATTATGAAGATAATTTGGTAAAATTATGTTATAAACAAAACAATTATGTTTTCTCTCTATCTGACTCCTCCAGAAATTTGAAACTCTTAGGTTTCCAGTAAGTTTATCAAATGAACTAGGAAGGTTATCTCACTAACAGGTACAAAAATCTCAAGGAATTATTGAGACCTTAAAAAGGGAAGAGTTCACCTAGATTTGTTAGGCAAAATCTGTGATAAGCGTTTGGTGTGAGTTTACCAGCCCTGTTTTATATTAAAAGTTCAGTCTGAGATTCTTTAAATGTTTTAGCAAACTAAAAAGTCTATAATCAGTTATGGTTATATAAATTATCAGACCAAAATTAGTGAGAACAGACCTATTTTGCAAACAAACTAGCCTTAATTTGGTTGTATTTGATAAAAATGAGGGTAACTTTAGGGAGAAAAAGATATTCCAAAAAATGTTAAATCCC